ATTTTTTGACATTGACACACTTTTGAAAACTTATACTTACTTCATTAAAGATACGAAATGTTAAAATTAGTTAATTAATTAGTCATTCATTGGCCCAATTGGACGGAACTTCAAATCATTTATTTTGTAATAATTGATCATTACCGTTATTGAATGGCTACCTTATGATACGTTGTCAAACGGCTGCATTATTCGCAAACAAAGTTCTATTTAAATTAATCAAATATTGTTTGGATTATGTACACACTACGCATGTTTTATTGTTTTAAAAACTACACACTCCAAACGTTTCGGTTACTTATCAGCAACCCTGATCACGGGCAGACGAGATGTGACTTCCTAAATGAATACTCGATAAAGTCTTGGACCTCAAAATTCTTTTTATTACATCAGTTGCATCATAATTCATACAAAAAATGCCATAGACTTTAATTTTTATAAACTAAAGTTACTCTTAACTAGTGCTGAATTCGTTTTTCGTATGTAATCTTCTATGACTTTTTTGTGTCAAACCGAAAAGTAGGTTTAATAGTAGGAATAAGTAGTTTTAATTATATTATTAAGTCAGAATTTCAAAGACGGAATTATTTAGATGTAAAGAAAACCCTAAAGGTGTTTAGGACATTGGGATAACAATAATACGTTGCATTTTTGTGTATATTGATTTAATAAACTTAATAAATAGATATGGAAGTTTATTTCTATTTAAAGTTTCATAGCAGTATTAATTATAAGTTCCTATTCCATATTCTTTTAAAAGAAATATAGAAAATAAATTCGTTCCCAATTATATTCCGAAGTAAGTTCCTCATAGCGATTTCATTATACAGCCGAGATTTCTAAGTAGTTTTCGAAACATCTAGAACATTCTTTGATCTTCAAATATCAAGTTATAAACCAATACTAGTTTAATTGGTTTAATTATAACAGAAAGTTTACAATCTAATGAGAAACACATTTGATTACTAGATATCTAGACATAGATTCCAACCATAATTACTATTAAATTAATTGTCAACGTTCCCGCTAGGCGTACCCTGTGGGAGCCATCTTGCATCTCTTAGGAAACCTTAATGCTCTCTTCGATTTTCACAATGATTCAATTAAAAATATCTTTTATTTACGTTTAAAATGTGTTTCTCGGATGAATAAAATAAAAAACGCTCGATTTCAAGTGTTGTATCAAAATAAATGTGAAGACATATTTTAATATTACCCACCTCTATCTGAGTGCTAAAAGTATTACGTCTTTTTTATATTATCGCATAAAACTAATATTAGTTGTCAAAGGTGGTTTAATGTATGTTCTTTAATCAGAAAATTAATAGAAACATAATATAATTTATCTCTAAATAAAGTTAAAAAATCATGTAGGGTATAAGTAAGGTCATTGACAGAGTTAAATAAAAAAATTAAAATAATTTGAAAATAATTACGAGTATTTCAGGAGAATAGTTTTTTAAGGCATTTATTTAGCGGGAAAAATGGTCTTTTATATACTTCGACACGAGTAAAAACTCCAAGTAAAGAAAAAAGACTGTTAGAGAAGTCAACAAAGTTTACTTACCTTTTAGAGTAATGCTTCGGAACTCTATAGATACTTTTTGGTACTTTATTAATTATATATCTACGTAATTGTTTTAGCCGCCAATTTAATAGCATTAGCCTTATAAAAATATATAGTATATATAACTTGTTTTCGTACAAATTAGAGAGATTTATATGAGTTTCCCTCAATCGAATATTTGTAGATAAAAATAATATTATTGGGTTGTTTTCGTTCAGCACATATTATTATCAAAACATGTTCTAACTCACCATGTTCGTCTTTGTAACGTCGGCATAAAGAAAACATTGTGTATTAAGCTTGACACAGGAATTCCTGAAACAAACAAGTTATTTGGTAACAGTGATAAATTAATATATAATAATATGTTTGATTTTAATATATTAAATTATCTCGTGGTTGTAAAACATATATTTTTAATCATTTTTTATCTAGAATATTTTTACAATTTTATTCTCAAAGTAGTATATATGTATAATGTGTTAAATAATAAAGCAGATTAATTATGTTTTTTTTATTAGATGATGGTTATTTAAACCGAAAATATTTTGTTATGTATTTTGCTATAGTTATCTGGTAATCGCATACTATCTTCTTTATTTTTTATCGTATAGAAATAGAAACTTAAATTATTGATTGCTAAAAAGTGAAAATCATACAAATGAAAAAAAATGTAAGTGGCAGATTGCAAAAAAATATTAATATAAATAAAAAATCAAAGATAACATGTATTTTATAATATCAATTGTTGTTTTAATTTATAGCTTCATTAATTTTAATTACATTTAACACTCAAAGTAAAACAACAAATAATATTTCTAGGAATACCTATATTTCATTACACGTAAATAAAAGTAATTAATGTCAAAATCAAATTAAACAATTGTAAAATCATTGTTTCTCTACGTTTCTTTAATGTTTAAACATATATCAGTAATTATTATAACAATATTTATATGAACAGAAATTAATTATACGGTTAAAAGTACAAGTATAGGGTACAACGAACCTGCGAGTCTACTGCCTCCGTAGATATACTGGACCCATCATCAACACTAATATAATAAGAATATATATAATATAATAAATTGGCCACAGCACTAGAAAACCGTTTATCACATGCGGGCCAACGGTGAGAGAATACGAGCGTCCTACGCTGAGGTCGAACAGCGACTGGCTTTCGTTGGATTTCTCTTTGCCAGAGGTTACAATCGAAGTCCCATGAAGCTTTCAGGAATTTTAATATATTTGTTATAGGAACATTTATAGTATTTATCATTAAGTGCATCCTATATCGATATGATTGTAAACGATATGAACAGGCTTTCAAGTGAAAATGGGGACGCTAAAGGGATTTATCAGAATAATTGGATTTCGTTTTTCGATGGAGTACTTTATTTATTTATATAGATTTTAACAGACAATAACACAGGTTTTAAATGTGATGATTGGAGTTCTTATTTGTGAATTAGATGTGTTTTAGGTTTAAAAAATCTTTTTTGATATAGTCATATAAAAAAATACTACTTAAAGCACTTTTTCTATCATAGATTTATTATTCGTTTCAAATAATATAGAAAACAAGTTTAAAACACGACAGCGAAAAATTTAACTTCCGCCGATATTACGAAAGTCCATGAGCGTAGTGCCTTTTACCACAAGAAGCTGTACCAATTACCCTAACACTTACCCCTTAAGACATGAATCGATATGTTTTCAGTAGCAAACATTACTGATGAGCTCAAATAGTAGTTACATTTACCTTAATTTTTATAAGATTTCGATAAAAATAATTAAAAAGAAAACTATATTATCTATTATAAATATTTTGACTTCCATAGAATATCGTACATTCGTACAAATTTTAAATTGAACCTGAAAATTTATTTATTCGCTTCTCTATTTTGTTTTCAACAAAAATCGTCGATATCAATATGTTGAAGTATCAATTACATCTGACAGGGGATTTGCAAAAAAAACTTCGTAAAAATTTGATGTAAATACGTTCTCTTCATACTTTTTTTACATTCCCAATGCATTTCATCATGATTAGCGTAGTGTTTCTGAGACATAGGAACTGACATAATGGATTTTCTGTCTACGTAAAGTAGACTTGAGTGCTTTTATTTTCACATGAATATGGTTATAAAAGATATTATTAAATAATTATGGATTGACAGCAGGTGTGGAAATTTGATTTGTTGACAAAAATGTGATAAGACGTACACTCTCATTTCAATATATTCTCAGTTATATTTTTATGGAATGTCTTTCTTTAAAAGATCTTTTATCTTTGACTTTCAGAGTAACATCTGTGGATTCTTCATAAGTCATGGAATTTAAAAAGGATACGGAAAAACTATGTCACTTAATGCTCAATGCTGTCTTTTTCTTTGTAAGTAATTTTCTTACTCTTATCTTCTTAAAGGCCTGGACAAGTCTACAAGTTAAAATGAGTCCTTGTAGATATAGTCCACTGTCAAGGCAGTATAATTTTATATACTACTACAAAATAGTAAAAGTAATTCGAAGAGAATTGCATTAAAAAAATGTTGACAAATATTTACAAATATAGTATCATCATACTCACACTCATAATGAAATTATTGGTATAAAACCTTTTTTAATTTATATTCAATAAAGACTGTCATAGTCATAACATGTCAGATAAATTTCATTGTAGGCTTCACGAACGTACTGATATACCTAAAAGTCCTCTATACAATTTCAATAAGTAAATATATGTATGTATATTTTTCATAACGACACCAAGCTACCATTAATAAGGTAATATTAAGAAGTACATATATGTATTTTTTCTCAATCCGTTTGTAAGTAAATATGTAAGTTTTCATTGTAATGTTTTCGTTACGTCTCTTTAATTATATGTATATTCCTTGTTATAATATTCTCTTATTGTTATATAGGTTAGGGGCGTGTCCCAGTTGACCGGGCTGCGCTTTGACCGCATGACCCGGTCATGGCCCGGTTTTCGTGCACTGCACACTGCATGCTGTCTTCACAATTGATTCGACGTTTGGTACATCCAGCGATGGCATTGTTAGGGTTAATGACATACAGATGTTATATAATGAATGGAAATTAGCTTGTAAGTGATATCATATGGTTTTCATTGTATACAATTTAATTTAAGTAATTAGTAAGGAGATTTTGGTACCAATTATTCTGTTCAAATAAAAGTTGAAATAAAAATGTTATTTGTAGTTTGCTTTTTATCTCAAATCGTTTCGAATACATCGTGTTAAATTTTAAAATATGAGTGTTTTTTATACTTTTTTCTATATATAAGCCTCAATTCAGAATCTATATTATTGGGACGAATAATTTGCCATTATTATTTAAGTTTTCATAAAATTTTATTATGGTTATCTTAAATATTTAAACAAATACATAATTTAAGAAAGCAATATAATTAACTAGATGCTGTAGTATTATTGTATGTGATTGGGTCGTCTGTTGTATTCACAGCACATTTCGTACGTTTCAATAAATCATTCTCGAATTCCTCGTATTCTGAACGTGAATGGATATCGTCTGATGCAGAAGCCATACATCCGATGCTTTTACCCAACAGCTTGACTACCCGTTTCATATACAACATTTCTTTGGACATTTTACAAACAAGATTTGTTTTAGATTCCAATAGCGTCTTCATCTTTTCCTTCTCTAGCTGTAGAACTATATTCTTTGTTTGTCTTTTCAACTCCCGCTGATTCGCAGTTTCTAATTGTTTTCCCAGTTCAAACATAATGGACGAGAAACATTTTTTCGTGACCTCCAAGGATCTTTTAGCTGAACTCAATTCCGTTTTCAATTTTTCTATTTCCTCGTGGAGGCAATCGATGTTTTTTTCCTCGGGCGTGTATTCTTTAGCGTTTTTATTTTTAATCTGTTTCACAATAACTTCTACTGCAGTTATATTATTTCTGAACACTTCGTGTGCTTGATTAGTATCCAGTTTCTTTACTTCAGTTGGAGGTGTTATTGATTCCATCGTAGACCTTTGGTTTAAACGAGGTGATGTTTTAAAAGCTTCAGACATCTTTGGATGCCCTATTTCCTTATGATAACAAATCTAAATATGAAACACTTGTATTTTTATGAATATGTAACTAAACTAATCTTAAAATGCATTTTTGTTTTGACGTCTATCATTCATTGGACTGCCAAAGTTTTTTCTTTTATTAACGTCAATATTTCTAAGTAATTCCTTTTTAAAGTAAGATAATATTATCGAATAAAATCTAAAAGGAATATAAATGAAAACGTTTAATATCAATCGGTTTTCTTAATTACAGTAATAGTTTTAATTAATTTAATCCTCATATAAAATGTGTTTTTCTTTATTACTTCTCTATATCTTTCAAGTGATATTTCAAACTTAGGAAATTTTAACTGATTACAAATCCCATCCTAGATTTTATATTTTAAGTTCTTATTTTTCTATCTTTTCTAATTCCATAACGTTAACCTAATTTCTTTCTTTATTTCATATATTGAATATAGGTACACATACAAATGATTAGTGAAATTTTATAACAAACCGATACATTTAATTGGACCATACAACTCATTTTCAATAAAAGTAATTAATAACATACAATAGTATTAAGCGAACAAAAGAGTAAATAATTAATAGAAACTACTTTACACATAATAATAATAAAAAAAATCTATCATTCAAGAGAAAATTAAAAGTCCGCTCTGGCCGCGTTTCAATTATATCTCTTGGTGAATTAAAATGAATCTTTTAAAGAATAAAAAGCTAGTGTTCATCGGTCAAGTCAACCGAATGATTACTCCTGAATCTCCACTGCAGTCTTCATCTAGATTCTAGATAGAGTTTTTACGGAGAGAGGCTTTCATCTGAATTTAGATTGTTTTGTGTTAAACTTATATCTCATTTAAACTATTCTTATGCGTTTAATAATGTTTTTTCTTCATGATTCTTAACTCGAACAAAGTAAAAGCAATAGAAAATGTCTTTGGAATACTTGTTAATGCACTAATAGAGTTATGACGCTATGGATTATTCAATAAACTCACTGGAAGGCGATGTTTCAGAAATCGAAGATTGGAATAATCGTATCGAATAATTATATTATTCGTTTTTACTCACATATATTTGGTAAATTATTCCATTAAAACCGTTAGCTAGTATGAATCCTAACATATCAATTTTACATGACACATTATCACAACGTGCTTAAATGTTAGATTTTAAGAAGTATAATACTGATATGTCTGATATTTCTAATTCCCAAAGAGGGTTGATGTCAGGCAGGAGGCCGGTCGTAAAAACAATTAGCCAAAACTATTTACAAAAATGTAAGGCAGACCCTGGCTATAGCTGGGAAATTGCCAGAAAGAAGAAGAAGAATACTGATATGTTTGATATTTATGTGTAGTAGAAGAAGATATAGAATTTCAGAAATGTATGTTATTAAAAAATTTAAGTGACAGATACGGAAATTTATTTCTTTATACATTAAAAAGACACCTAGGTAAGGTGCATGTACTAAGACGTTGTTTAAGCTGACAACCTAATAATTGGAAAGCGGAAAAATTCTTACGTCTAAAATACAATATTCACAGAGTAAAATTCAGGTATTACAGATTTTCGTACTCATCAGATAAAATAACGGTAGTAACACATGTGAGAAGATTATTATTTTCATTTGTATACATCAAAACATAAAGATGTCAAAAAAAAGCTTAGACAGAATCGATAGGGTTTTACAAATCTGGATGATCCTTAACACGTACCTATATGTCACAAAACATGAGAATATCTCGAGAAAATAATATTATAACATAGAACTGAGTATGTGTTAACAAATTATGCCCAATAATATTAAAAATTTAAAAGCGACTCTATCAATATGCTACGTTCGAACGTCTAAGCCACAGAATCGATTTTGATGAATTATGGTATAATGTAGATGGAAATTTGGAGAAGGACATAAGCTACCGTTTATTAGGATCCCGGTCACAAAACTACACGGCTTGAACCACAAAAGGGCATTTCATGTTCATTTCATGTTTTTTTTTACTCTTATCCCTATCTCGACCACGCCACCGAACTCAAAACCACACGGTTGGAACAATAAAGTGCACTTTGGATTCAGTAGTCGTATTGTTTTTTAACTTTTACCTCGATCCTGATTTTAAACCCGAATTCGAGACCGATCCCGACTCAAATCCCGAAACTACATGGGTGTAACTATAATGAGCAATTCGGGTTCAGTGGCTGTAGAGTCAGAACAACTGTGATGTTCACGAAAAACTAGTATGGCATAAAATATAATCATTAAATATGGATATCCATTGATTAACCTGCCAATTATTAATTATAATTCCCTACTATCATCATTAATGTTAATTTATATATAGATATCTGGCATTTAACATCATTAAAAGTATCCAACGTAATGTTATGTTTATAATATTAATTTCTACTTAAATAGAATTTTATTTCACTTTGTACTTTGTTACTTATGGCTATCAATTATATTTTAACAGGTTTTCGTATTACAATAAATTTTCAAGGCTTTTATCTGTTAGTTTTGAACTTAGTCAATACGAGATCTCTTTTATTTGATATATGTTTATTCGTCTAGCTGGTTAATGACCAGCTTCTAAACTAATATATAATGATTTAAGGTTAGTATATTCTTTATTAATGTCATTACAAAAATGTAACTAAACTTACCAATAGTTACTGTACATCAACTATTGATAAGGAAATGCTAATATTATTAATCACGAGTATTTGAAAAATCTTAAGTAAATAAATTTAATTACACTTTAATTGGAACTAACAGTATTTGTGAATAATAATTAAGTTTATTGTATTTAAGAAGTTCTTTTTAATAAATGATTGCACATGGTTTACTTAGAAAACTTAAAGTATGAAATAATATCTATAAACAAGTTATACATTTTTATTTAAATTTCAAGCAATATTTTTGAGTCTTAGTCTGAGTAGTTTTTTAAAACACTTAGCGATTATAAGCTAAGTCGTTAAGTTGGGAAATAATGAAAAAAAAAACAAATCTCTTAAACTATTTTATGAATTAACCTGGACTAATTAAAAAATAAGAGGCGAGAAACGCATAACTACTATTTGATCAATATGGTATATTAAATTTGCAGCAGGCTCATCTACTTCATGGAAGTTAATCTACAAGGGAGTACGTTTGCTAGTATCTTCGCATGGATAGCATCTTATTTAAGGATATGCAAACCTAACGATAACTAGATAGATTTTATAGCTAAACGATTTTAAGTTTCACTTCGTTAGCCAGTGGATTTAGATGAAATAGATTCTGTATAATATTTCGCCAATTCATAATATCAAAGTAAAACGTCAGAGATCATAAAGAAAAAATTAATTAAGACACATATCTCCAAACTATTTTGTGGAATTTGTACACTGTTTAATCCGGAACGCCATCCTTAGTTCAAGCAGAATATTATGGATTTCATGACTACATTAAGCGAAATAAATTACGAACAGTTTTGCATTTGTTTTTTTGTTCAGAAAAAGTCCAATAAAGTTTCGTAATAGTTTAATAGCTTTAAAGCGAATAACTCTCATTCATCCTCGTATAACTTTTTCATTTATATTGATTGTATTTCTGCAGTCCTAACCTGATTCTAGGAATACATTCGGGCGTTCTAGTTTCGCGACCTCGGTGTATTACCTACATAGGTACTCAGACCGTCTAGGCATTCTATTGAATTACCGACTGCGCCTCAATCGAGTTACGACACACACTTATATTATGAGCCATCGATTTGTTGAGTTGTTTTCTTGTTATGAATGGCTTTATCTTAAGATATATTGCTAGATTAAGGTTAATTTAGTTTATGTTTTTGTTATTCAATCATTTATGTGTGTTACATTATATTATTAGAGCATATAATACAATAGAATTAGGGTAAACTATTTACTTTCCTTTTTCCTCGTGGGTTCTAAGCACTATATACGAGATTTTTCTAATAAAAATATTAATCTTTATTATACATATATCAACTTATAACACTTTTCCGAAGTCAAGTCATATATGACTGCATCTTTTCGGTATACCATATAATAAAATACATTTGAATTTAAACAGGATTCAGGTAACGAAGAGAACCATAAAAATGTGATAACGCTCTTGTTATTGAATGATATTTTTTATTGTATAATTTTTTGGTACATATTTATGTGTTAAGTACTTACATAAAGAATGGATTCCAAAACTTGAATTATTCTCTAAAATTAATATGTGCTATTTGAAATTAAAAAATATATTTGTGGAACTAACTATATAATTAAATAGAGAAGTAATTTATTAACGCAATCACTTTCTTATAGGAAACTTATGTATGTGACTCTTAGTGAATTTTACTTTATGAATACTGACGGAAATTTCAGACTCAAATAAAATTTTGACTTTTATAATACTTAAGACTAGATAGATGTTATTTCAAAACCCTCATTTTATATATTCAGCGCCATCTAGTATATTTTACAGAAACTAAATAATTACATATAGTGAGGTAGTTTTCTAGTATTGGCTACTAGAATAATGTTGACGGTCGCAGGTTTAATAATAAATACATATAACATGATCAAAAGTTTATTAAAAAGTTCAGAGATTGCACTTACAGCTACATTTTAATATAGATATTTGAGTGAAAGTTTAAAGCCATACAATCACAAAGTCAAAACTAACACGCTATTGATTGATTGCATTTTACTTCAGATATTCTTAAGACTTATGGCACAGAAAGAAAAATATACGTAAAAAAGGGTTAATTAATGAGATTGAAAAAAAATATAGGAATGAGTATTTAGTATATAAGAAAGAGGTAAAAGCGGTAAGAATACCTAAAAAAACTACTAATATGCTTATCTAAAATATAAAAAAAAAATCAATATTCGCTTATTTACTAACAAAAAACTATTTTTAACAAAGATATATCTTTAATGTAACAGTTATTGAGTGATTATACAGAAATTTCAAATTTATAATATACTTTTGACTTTAAGGAGTCGACTAAAAAAATGTTACGTATATATAAAAATATTGTCATGTCAAATCTTTTTAGTGCCATATATAATAATATTATTATTCTGAAAACGGAAGACAAATTTGTCACTCTTCATGTGCTACTACACTAAAGTACTAAAAATTCACTTATATTGTGAGAGTAATTACAACAAATACAAATTGAGTATGTATATACAATAATTCATAAGATTCAGAGGTCAAATTTTACAAAGGACGTTACAAGGACCCAAAAGTATAAAATCATAAGAAATTTATCATAACAATTGCCTGCAATATAATATTTTTATGTATTTTCTTTTATAATGTCGTTTTTTTGCTATAACTGTATATATCATCTGTTTAAGCTATATTTCCATACTAATTCTATATAACAGCGGAACTAGCCATCTGATTGACGCCACAAGTACCGTCGCCTCTGTACACTCGGTAGTAACCTTGCTCGCCCCACGACTTTCCCCATGAATTCTTCACTATCCAGTATGGAAGACGTTTGTGGAAGAGAGGGTAGTCTGAAAATGTTAAATTTCGGTTATATACAACTGGTATTTGTATGGATATAACAAGCGTATAAAGTTAATGAGATATGGGTATAAAAATATATGTTTAGATATGGAGTTTTTATTAAGAACAATTTTTAATCAGTCCTAAGATTTTCGTGAGTATTATAGATTTAAATGAAACTAATAATTTTATTTAATACTACGCGTACTGTATTTTAACAAACTTCATACTCCCGACGTTTCGGTTACTTTTCAGCAACCATGATTATAGGCAGACGAGAAAATATTAGTATCATTTAAACATTTAACAAATTCAATGTCAGTATTGATAGTACTTACTCTTAACTCCGTAGCCAACTATGAGAACACCGTGATCCAAGTTCGTGGGGTTACAGAGTACCTTCCACGGGTGTGAGATACCACCCATGTAGAACTGCATAGCGTTAGCATTTATACCTATAATAATACAAGGAAACACTATATATATGAAAAACTACATATATTTGTTTGAATGACGTCATAACATATGTATTCTTTATAATGAGATCTAAATTTTTGGCGAGTACTCATTTAAATGAAATTAATATTTTGAATTTACTACGCGATTTTTTATTTTTGACTATAAACTACTAACTCCCGATGTTTCGGCTACTTCTTACTGAAACTTCGGGGTACTTACTCCCGACGTTTCAGTAAGTAAGAAGTAGTCGAAACCTCGGAAGTATGTTGTTTATAGTCAAAAATAAAAAATCTCGTAGTAAATCCGAAAATACTAGTCTCATTTAAATGTGTGTTTTTTATCTTTGTATTGTAAACTTTGAAATTGGAGCAAGAATATGTACTTTATATAGATATTGTTTAAGTGACATACATAGATAATGAAATTTTACTTATTAAAATCATATCAAGTCACATGGTAATACTCTTGTTTAAATAAGGAAAATACACGATTTTTCTAACATAAATGTGTTAACAAAACATAATTTATATGCGATAATATATAAAATCAATATAAAATATTGGTGAAGTACAAACTGATGATTATTTAGCAAACATTAGCACGGACTGAACAAACAGGAAAATAGTTTTTAAAAAGACGAGACATGTTTTATTAAGACTAATTTCTTTTGGCGGGACATCCCGTACAAATATGACATATAAAAAAATACTTGAGTATTTTTCGATGTAACAATTGTAAACTTGTCGTAGACTAGATAAAGATTTCATTTACATTCATATATTTGTTAAAATGCTTTATGTTTGTATTTAAACATTAAAAATAATGTTCTTACCAATAGAGATGGGACCATTCTGTATAAGCCATTTAGCCATATCTGTTTCGTTGGACGATATATTGACAGCGCCACTGATTTGAACCTTGGACATCGTTTTGTTGAACACGCATTTGTCGTTCTCACCCTCGTAAGGGTAATCAGATTCCAGCTCCAAACCGCCCAGCTGTTCTATAGCCCTGGAAATATAGAATTTATTAATCACCATCAATTTAGCTTATAGAGAAAGACTCATTCTGAATCCAGGTTTCGCCTGTGTGAAGACGAGGAAAATGAACATTTTTATCGTACGATAATGGTCGCCGAGTGGCAATTTTCATCACAATTATTAGACAGTTCACGTGAATTAACCAAACAAAGGAATTATTGTTAAACACATAATATTGTTGAAGATTTTCCTTAACTGAGTTAAAAATAACTTACAACCGTACATCAAAAACCTCGATACTTGTAATATATTGTTTACCAAAACAAATATTTACAAATGTTTTAAATAAAAATGTACGTAAACTAATTTATATTCCAACTTTTAGAGATAAATCATTGTTTTTGATAACAATAATGGAATGATTTGTAAATAGTATAGTTGGCTCTTGAATGTCTTATTTCGCCTTATTTTATGAAATATTAAAAACAGTCTGAGTTTCAATAAGCAGACCACAATTGAAATTTTAAATATAAAATAAAGTGATGTGGTTATTTTATGTGTTAATTAGGAATCTCCTGTTCTCTTTGGCTTCGTTTTAGCGTAAGTGTTCTCGTTTTAGGTAAAATTACGTAGCCAATATAGAATGACCATATGGGCTTTTAGCATTGGCAATTGGCATCGTCACTTTACATATGAAGATTTTCTCGTTTTTCATTCTATATCCTATGTTAATACTGTCATATTACAAGAATGTATTAATGAAAACTATTAACTCGTCGTATGTCACTATGAAAAGTTGAGACAAGCTTCAGTTCGTGAAAACGTCCATATTTAAAACATGTACGTTCGAAGCTAAATAAAGTAGATTTTAACCTTCAGGTCATCTTCTTCTTCCACCTGGCATTTTCCCAGCTAGTAGCCAGGGTCTGCCTTACATGTTGTGAATAGTTTTGCTTAATTATTTTTACGACCGGCCGCCTGTCTAAATACTCTTAGAAAGTACATATGACTCGGAAAAATCACATTGGTACTTGCCAGGATCGAATCCGCACCCTCGGTAACGAGAGGTCGGCTCTTTAACCACTAGGCCACCACTGACTTTTTTTTAAGTCATCCTATTGTCATTATAACAAGATTATAAAAACAGAATTTCTCTTCTCATCGTTAGCAGTACTATTTTAAATAGATACTCGTATTATCTTTTTGCTTCGCGTGCTAGAATAAGTAATATCCCTAGTCACTAACACGATTACTCATCATGATCTCTTGAGATAAACAAATGGTTTCCGCGAATGTCTATCACACAATATATTAAACCGACACAGATTTTCATGTAGTAGAACAATCGGGAATTTTATCTCAACACACACACACACACATATGTATGAATGTGTGTGTATACATATAGGTCAATCTTGTAGACATCCAAAAAAGTTTTTTTATTGTTAAGTAGTTTTTATGTCTTATACATACACCTGTTTATACAAGTCAGATGCCGCGAGAAATACCTAGCATTAAAAATTACATACAATTTATCGAGTACATTTTGTATTTAGTTTGTATTAATAGACATTACATTTATATAATACAATAAACAACACAAGTTTGTATTTATAATGTGGTTATGTTATAGGAACAAAGACTTCTTTACTTTTAAGGTAGGGTGTTACGTCATGACACGAACATGTCAAGATATCCTTAAACACACGTCTAAATAGGACATGTACATGTTCTATAAAAGAAACAGAAGACGTATAACAGAAGACATATTATAAAATGCAACGTAAAGAAAAAAATACTCTTCGATGTTTCGAATTAGTTTAATCTTCTTCTTCCTGGCAATTTTCCCAGCTTTAGCCAGGGTCTGGCTAAAATTTTTCGTATCGAATTATTTTAATACTTATATGCAATGTTTCGAATGGAATACGTGTAGTTGTCGTGTTTCGTTCGTCGGTCTAATGTTCAGTAGCTTTGCCACAAGTTTTTTATAAAAGCTGTACAGTTTGTTCGTAAACATATTAATTGTAAATTCTTTTAAATAAAGTTCTTAAACCCGACATATTATTTGTATAATTTGCGAATTTATATTTAATAATCGCCTTATGTAGTGTTATTGCATCTTCAAAATATAACATTGAATGTAAACACTCTTAAGTAATCGAAATTTAGTTTAAAACGTAAAAAATAAATTGAATTAACTCTGAGTATATACTAAAAGAATAGTTTCATACATTTATACTCACCTGTATCAACTTATTATTCTACATATTATATTCAATTTTAATATTATTCCTATAACCAATACTACTTTTAATACTTTTTTAAAATGTTCTTACAAATATAAATTATAACAAAAAATCTATGATTTTTTTATTGATTTAATCAGTTTATTTGGTACAGGCATAACATATCAAGTACTATTTATATGAGGAAAAATAATAAAATATTTTCTTTATATTATGCTTCAAACCAAGAGATAAGTTTCGTTTATTAAAACATGCTTTTATATTCAGATTTATTTACATATTAACATCTAGTTATTTATTAAATTAAAGGTTATTTTATTATTTCTTTGCTCGTACATTAGATATATGTATATATTAATAAAGTTTTATATCACAAAAGTTCAAGTTGACACGTTTGATAATATATAATAATAGTTTTATCAAAACATATTATCTTTGTATACACACTAATTAACGATTAAACCAATTAGGATTTTACTCTTATAAGCATCAACATAAAATAAGTTTAAATAGATCTAAGGCTTTCGCGAGTATTCATTTAAATGAAATTAATATTATTCGGATTACTACGCGTATTTTAATATTTTAAAACGCTATATACTCCCGACGGTTCGGTTACAGGTACGGTTTCGGTTCGGTTTAATTAAAATCCAAATATATTAAAATACTATCAACAGGATTTGTAAAAACGATACCGCGTTATAGTCGTTAAAGCAACGAAAAAATGTTTTTGACTTATATTATATGTATATTTAAATTTTATTTCAATAATTATTTTAACACAATTGTAATGTGTAAAAAAATGTCTTGTACATTTAGTTTTGTAGTCTATATTTCATATTTATAATCAGGCTCGTTAAAGTATAATATTTTGACTTGTACATCCTTACTCTCCCATAATGGTAAGAACGAGTGTGTAATAACATATAAAAATATATTTATATAGTAGAAACTTTTAATAACATTTGATTCTATAGCATACGACACTAGTATAATTATAGAATATTTACGAAAGAAACAGTTAACGCCACGTAAGTAGTGGGACGTTAGAAACTCGTAGTAAGCATCCCCCTATCGTAAAAGGGAAATATTTGAAATTGTAATCACCGGCAGTTATGAAAATAATTACTTTATATCCTCTGTTTGGTAATATTCGGTAATACAAATAATTTGTTTATCTTTCACGACGAAAACGACGTAAACATTGTTCACACAATAACAAAACAAAGGTCCACTAATAATATTTTATTTGTGATCGTTTGTTTACAGGATGTTATGTGTAATTGCTATTTATGGATCACACAATAACAATATGATTTTAGTTATGGTAACGGGATTTAACTTTTATATAAGTATGATATATGATATTATTATAAGAGGAAACTAAGTGGGAAAATTGTATACTTGTACAATAATTATTAATTTAATTATTTCATATTACTTTGTAGTTTAAATAATTCTATAAAATTAAAACTGAAACATTTGAAAATTATATCATTCAAATATGTATATTTTTAACTAGCTGACCCGGCAAACGTTGTTTTGGTAAATAAAAAAGGGTAAAAATTTAGGGTTGCATGTTTTTTTTAATGCGACATAAAAAAAATTAAGGAAATTAAAAAAAAATTCCAAAAATTAAAGAACAATGTTAAGGGTGGACAACCCTTACCTCTAAGGGGTAAAATATATGTTGGCCGTTTCTCAGACCTACTCAATATGCTCACAAATATTTTATGAGAATCGGTCAAGCCGTTTCGGAAGAGTTCGGGAACGAATATTGTGACACGAGAATTTTGTATATAAGATATATTGTACGCGTGTGAAGAAGTAGATACATATATATATAAAGTATATAAAGACATGACAGACTCGCGAATTAAATTTTAGACATTTAAGAAATCTGTGATATATGGAGTCAATAAAGCAAAGAATCTAAGCCAACAAAATTTTCATTTTATATACACATGTAGTACGTTCTTATATTCATATTTAGATTTGAGATTATCCTTGTATATGTTTATATTTTAAGTTTCAACATTGACATCAACAATAAAGAGGTTATTTACTCCGATATTGATTTATAAAGAGTTATATACAAAAATATATAATAAACTAAGAGAATTACAATCACGTTGAGTATTACTTAGATTCAAAAAGTAGCTGAATGAAAGAAAATTGGCAGATTAAGATTGTTTGGTAGACAAAAATGAGTATGAGTTTATCAAAAACGACTATAATTTTATTAAAAATGAGCATAACTTTATCAAAAATGAGCATAACTTTATCAAAAAAGAGTGTAACTTTATCAAAAATGAGTATAACTTTATCAAAAATGAGTATAACTTTATCAAAAAATGAGTATGACGTTATCTAGAAAAGCTTAAAATAGTACCTGTAAGCATTATCCGGTAGTCCACCGTTGCAGCCGTCGTCAAGTTTGTCACAATCCACCAATTCTTGCTCCGATAGAGAGACCAATTCCCCGGTCTGGACCTTATACTGACCTTCGATATTACCTGTACATACAACAAATACCTCTTGAAAACAACTTTATCGTCACATGAATTTCTGTGTTTACACAACAGAATAAATATTTAAATTCGTATATATTTTATACAAATGCAGTACATACTATTATTTAAAGATGTATATGTGTACATAAGTTGTATTTAAAAATATATTTAATCTTAATATTATACATATATGTTTTATAATAAAGCACATGCTATGTAAAACATGATTAGAAACCCAAGAGATTTTATTAGTAATAATATTTCAGCAGCTTTAATGAACTGATTATATTTAAGATTTAAATTTAAATATCTATACGGTATACATTTAACTCACCGGTAACACTGAACGCCCAGCAGCTCCCGCAAGAGCCTTGATCCTTCACTTCAGTAACAGCTTCATATTCACGCCAATCGAAATTTTCTGGTAGAGCCACCTCTGGAATGTCCGCTTTTCTCATTGGAATCAGATTTTCGTTTCTCATATTCGGCTTAAGGCCCATATATTTTGATACAAATTCGTCATAAGTCAGATCCGAATATCTGGTAACTCCGTAAGTCGCCGTTCCACGCTCGTGTATATTTAATTCGTGTATTCTTTTAACGTTGTCCTTAAATATGTTGTATCTTTTGACCATTTCTGATTTATTTTCGATGTAGTCCGGCATGTACGTAGTTAGGAAATCGGAAAACAGACGTTCAGCCTGAATTTCGAAGAAAAATTCATGGGACGATTCATCCTGATAGTCACATATCACCCTATAAAGAGGCGGATGTTCGGACCATGGACGCAACCAAATATTTACTCGACAGAATTTATTTGTTGACATATTTTTTGTTAGCTTACAGTCCTTCTTGGCACTCAAGGCTAGACAGTCTGTGATGCCTACTTCTAATTTCAATCTAAAATGCAGCCCAGCTACCTGCTGTTTCTCCAATGAGAATACTCTTACTATTTTTTGTTTATTTGGATGAGGATATTTAGCTTCGATGTGCTTCAAGGCCTCGTTAGCCAAAGCCATTCCGTTATCAGCGGTCTCATACTCTATGTGAGATTCCAGCGGTGTTTCATCATCGTCGCAGTTAACTGTTATTTCTCTACCATTTTGTATCCACAGCCGTTCCCTCACCTGTGATATGCAATGTCTCCTGGGCAGGTGCTCCATTACCTCACAAGCAGTCATATTATCAATCCATTCATATTTTAAGCAACTTGTATAAGCTACATCAAAATCTATTGTTGTTAGTCTTCCTCTGGTAATATTAGTCATAAAACTGTTGATCTGTAGCAACTTTTGTTTATAGTTTAATGGCGACGTCATTTCTAACTTTTCCAACGATTCTCTTACCATACCTTGAATAAGTTTTTCGTCGGAAGTTGTGTTTGTCGTATCAAATGAAAGCGATCTTCTGCTACGACTCGGTGTTTCTCTATTGCATCGTGTAATGACTTTTCTTATTTTTTTTGTGTTGGCTGCCATCCAGATATTTGATGTGCAAGGTTTTGGAAGTTTAGAATTATCAATGTAACATTGGAAACGGTTTTTCTCAAGGTCTATGTACTTGGAACAATTTGTAGCTCGCACTATAAACCTTAACTTCGTGGGCTTACGGGAATCAAGGCTAGGTACAACGTGTGGTTCTCCGAGGTGAACCAACTTGTTTTTAATTTTAGGCGACGATTCTAATTCCCTAACAGCTTCTTTAATAAGATTCGTTATTGACAGGCCCGTGACGCTTTTGAAGTCCCTTTCGTCGTCGCAAACCACAGCCAAGCTTTGAACCACTAGTTCATCATCGGGGGAGGGCCACAACCGAACATAACAAAGTCTGTGAAAGATACCAGACAATTCTTCACAGTTCTGTAGATCCGCTTCATCTTCATGTCTTAAACAATAAGTTAAACCTATTTCTATGTACATTTTTATCATGTTGACACCCATATTTGTACTGCTCTCAAACGCGTGGATAGTTATGAGTTTATTCAAGTTGTTTGTGGTTTCTTTTTCATTTATGTAATGTACAGCTCGATCAGCATAATAATACTTAGTATCTTCATCGATGTCATCTTCTTCGTGTATAATTTGCCTCTTTTTTCGATCAGATGAATACATATTATTTTCTAAGTCTCGTTTACTTTCCTCACTACTTTTTTTACAATTTATTTCAATTTTTTTAGATGATTGAATCCATGGTTGAACCCACACTTGCGCATAACAACGTAATATTTTATCAGATGATTGCATTTGACAATCATCGATATGCATAGCATTATCTGCCAACAAACAGTTTGTTGGCGAAATTGAAAAATCCAATTTAGTAATAATACCAGATACAATTTGCTCACTCACATTGTGGATTTCTACAATCTTATGCACGTACTTGGTGTTTGATAATTCTTGGTATTTTGTCACAGCTTCATCAACCAACGATTTAACATTTTCGTCATCAACATAGTTTGTAGGAGCTCCTATAATATTGCGCTTTTTTCTGCTATATTTTTCATCTTCTTCACTAATATCACTATTACAATCGACATCGATTTTTTCCTGACTCCTCCAAGGTTGTTTCCAAATTTTAGCATTACAATAAAGTTTACTGATGTCATTTATATCACACTTTTTTTTGTTTTGGTTTACTTTAGAGCAAATAGACGAAGCAATGAAGTCAATATCATAGATAATTCCTGATACGATCTGGGACGTCACTCGCTCAACAGATATCACTTTGTGTTCATTTGTTATTTTTTGCACTTGTAAATATGTTCTTAGTGATTTATCAGCTAAAATTTTATATTCGGCTTTATTGGGTTCTTGTTTAATGGCGCGTCCTTTAAAGGCACGTTTTTGCTTTGAAATGCTTATCGACCTCTTTTTCCGCGATTGTCTATTTTTAAGTGATTCTTCACAACTCACAGTTATTTCTTCGAAATTCATCCAAGGCTTTTCCCAAACTTTCGAATGACAGTTTATGTTATCACCGTTACTCTGAGAAGTTATTGTAAATTTGATTTCGGTTAAGGTGCCAGCGACTACTTGTTCAGTTACTTTATTTACTTTTAAGACCTCAAATTTCTCACTAACTCCATTACTTTGCAAGAATTGATTTAACGACTTTCTAGCCAGGTTTAAGTATCTACCGTCGTTCGCGTCGACTTTCTGTGGAGCACCGACAAGTGGGGCATCATCTACTCCTCGTTTCTTTCGGGATTGTCTATTTTGGAGTGATTCTTCACAACTCACAGTTATTTCTTCGAAATTCATCCAAGGCTTTTCCCAAACTTTCGAATGACAGTTTATGTTATCACCGTTACTCTGAGAAGTTATTGTAAATTTGATTTCGGTTAAGGTGCCAGCGACTACTTGTTCAGTTACTTTATTTACTTTTAAGACCTCAAATTTCTCAGTAACTCCATTACTTTGCAAGAATTGATTTAACGACTTTCTAGCCAAGTTTAAGTATCTACCGTCGTTCACGTCGACTTTCTGTGGAGCACCGACAAGTGGGGCATCACCTACTCCTCGTTTCTGGCGGGATTGTCTATTTTGGAGTGATTCTTCACAAGTCACAGTTATTTCTTCGAAATTCATCCAAGGCTTTTCCCAAACTTTCGAATGACAGTTTATGTTATCACCGTTACTCTGAGAAGTTATTGTAAATTTGATTTCGGTTAAGGTGCCAGCGACTACTTGTTCAGTTACTTTATTTACTTTTAAGACCTCAAATTTCTCACTAACTCCATTACTTTGCAAGAATTGATTTAACGACTTTCTAGCCAGGTTTAAGTATCTACCGTCGTTCGCGTCGACTTTCTGTGGAGCACCGACAAGTGGGGCATCATCTACTCCTCGTTTCTGGCGGGATTGTCTATTTTGGAGTGATTCTTCACAAGTCACAGTTATTTCTTCGAAATTCATCCAAGGCTTTTCCCAAACTTTCGAATGACAGTTTATGTTATCACCGTTACTCTGAGAAGTTATTGTAAATTTGATTTCGGTTAAGGTGCCAGCGACTACTTGTTCAGTTACTTTATTTACTTTTAAGACCTCAAATTTCTCACTAACTCCATTACTTTGCAAGAATTGATTTAACGACTTTCTAGCCAGGTTTAAGTATCTACCGTCGTTCGCGTCGACTTTCTGTGGAGCACCGACAAGTGGGGCATCATCTACTCCTCGTTTCTGGCGGGATTGTCTATTTTGGAGTGATTCTTCACAAGTCACAGTTATTTCTTCGAAATTCATCCAAGGCTTTTCCCAAACTTTCGAATGACAGTTTATGTTATCACCGTTACTCTGAGAAGTTATTGTAAATTTGATTTCGGTTAAGGTGCCAGCGACTACTTGTTCAGTTACTTTATTTACTTTTAAGACTTCAAATTTCTCACTAACTCCATTACTTTGCAAGAATTGATGTAACGACTTTCTAGCCAGGTTTAAGTATCTACCGTCGTTCGCGTCGACTTTCTGTGGAGCACCGACAAGTGGGGCATCATCTACTCCTCGTTTCTGGCGGGATTGTCTATTTTGGAGTGATTCTTCACAAGTCACAGTTATTTCTTCGAAATTCATCCAAGGCTTTTCCCAAACTTTCGAATGACAGTTTATGTTATCACCGTTACTCTGAGAAGTTATTGTAAATTTGATTTCGGTTAAGGTGCCAGCGACTACTTGTTCAGTTACTTTATTTACTTTTAAGACCTCAAATTTCTCACTAACTCCATTACTTTGCAAGAATTGATTTAACGACTTTCTAGCCAGGTTTAAGTATCTACCGTCGTTCGCGTCGACTTTCTGTGGAGCACCGACAAGTGGGGCATCATCTACTCCTCGTTTCTTTCGGGATTGTCTATTTTGGAGTGATTCTTCACAACTCACAGTTATTTCTTCGAAATTCATCCAAGGCTTTTCCCAAACTTTCGAATGACAGTTTATGTTATCACCGTTACTCTGAGAAGTTATTGTAAATTTGATTTCGGTTAAGGTGCCAGCGACTACTTGTTCAGTTACTTTATTTACTTTTAAGACCTCAAATTTCTCAGTAACTCCATTACTTTGCAAGAATTGATTTAACGACTTTCTAGCCAAGTTTAAGTATCTACCGTCGTTCACGTCGACTTTCTGTGGAGCACCGACAAGTGGGGCATCATCTACTCCTCGTTTCTGGCGGGATTGTCTATTTTGGAGTGATTCTTCACAAGTCACAGTTATTTCTTCGAAATTCATCCAAGGCTTTTCCCAAACTTTCGAATGACAGTTTATGTTATCACCGTTACTCTGAGAAGTTATTGTAAATTTGATTTCGGTTAAGGTGCCAGCGACTACTTGTTCAGTTACTTTATTTACTTTTAAGACCTCAAATTTCTCACTAACTCCATTACTTTGCAAGAATTGATTTAACGACTTTCTAGCCAGGTTTAAGTATCTACCGTCGTTCGCGTCGACTTTCTGTGGAGCACCGACAAGTGGGGCATCATCTACTCCTCGTTTCTTTCGGGATTGTCTATTTTGGAGTGATTCTTCACAAGTCACAGTTATTTCTTCGAAATTCATCCAAGGCTTTTCCCAAACTTTCGAATGACAGTTTATGTTATCACCGTTACTCTGAGAAGTTATTGTAAATTTGATTTCGGTTAAGGTGCCAGCGACTACTTGTTCAGTTACTTTATTTACTTTTAAGACCTCAAATTTCTCAGTAACTCCATTACTTTGCAAGAATTGATTTAACGACTTTCTAGCCAGGTTTAAGTATCTACCGTCGTTCGCGTCGACTTTCTGTGGAGCACCGACAAGTGGGGCATCACCTACTCCTCGTTTCTGGCGGGATTGTCTATTTTGGAGTGATTCTTCACAAGTCACAGTTATTTCTTCGAAATTCATCCAAGGCTTTTCCCAAACTTTCGAATGACAGTTTATGTTATCACCGTTACTCTGAGAAGTTATTGTAAATTTGATTTCGGTTAAGGTGCCAGCGACTACTTGTTCAGTTACTTTATTTACTTTTAAGACCTCAAATTTCTCAGTAACTCCATTACTTTGCAAGAATTGATTTAACGACTTTCTAGCCAGGTTTAAGTATCTACCGTCGTTCGCGTCGACTTTCTGTGGAGCACCGACAAGTGGGGCATCATCTACTCCTCGTTTCTGGCGGGATTGTCTATTTTGGAGTGATTCTTCACAAGTCACAGTTATTTCTTCGAAATTCATCCAAGGCTTTTCCCAAACTTTCGAATGACAGTTTATGTTATCACCGTTACTCTGAGAAGTTATTGTAAATTTGATTTCGGTTAAGGTGCCAGCGACTACTTGTTCAGTTACTTTATTTACTTTTAAGACCTCAAATTTCTCACTAACTCCATTACTTTGCAAGAATTGATTTAACGACTTTCTAGCCAGGTTTAAGTATCTACCGTCGTTCGCGTCGACTTTCTGTGGAGCACCGACAAGTGGGGCATCATCTACTCCTCGTTTCTGGCGGGATTGTCTATTTTGGAGTGATTCTTCACAAGTCACAGTTATTTCTTCGAAATTCATCCAAGGCTTTTCCCAAACTTTCGAATGACAGTTTATGTTATCACCGTTACTCTGAGAAGTTATTGTAAATTTGATTTCGGTTAAGGTGCCAGCAACTACTTGTTCAGTTACTTTATTTACTTTTAAGACTTCAAATTTCTCACTAACTCCATTACTTTGCAAGAATTGATGTAACGATTTTTGTGCCAGATACAAGTATTTTGTGTCTTTTTCATTTGATACCTTTGGACCGCCCTTTAGCTCATAAGTTTCTCTAAGATGTTGGCTATCAGAAACATCCCGTTTTTTCCTATGGAAGTTAGATTGTCCATGAAAAGAATCATCACAATTAACTTTTATTTGCCTACCGTCACTCAACCAAGGTCGATCCCAAACTTCTGCTTTACATTTTCGTAATGCTTCATTTTCAAGCAAATTACATTTTTTTAAATCTACATTAAATTCACTGGGGCAATCAGTGTAACCAGCAACGAATTCCACTTGAGTTATCAATCCACCAATAAGCTGAGTAGATACTGATTTAATTTCAATGACTTTTTGCTTATTATTTCTATTGGAATTCGAATCTAGATATTGCAAGGCCTGTTGAACCATTTCTAAAATCTTAGGATCCTGAGTCACGACGGGTTTCGTTTCCACCTGTTTCTTAGCAGAAAATCTTTCATCAAACGGTCTAGACATACAAGAATACGTAAGTTTTTTCTCCTTTAACCAATGTCTTTCAAGTATCGTCACTTCGCAAATACTAGAATCATTGCCTTGCATAACAGTGCAATTTTCCCTATTTACATACGGAACTGTTTTATTACAATTTGTTAACGACAGGCTAAGAGAAAATTTTGTAAGGGTACCGGAAGAAGATTTTTTTGTGGTTGGTTGTACAATTTTTTCTATTTTCAAAGCGTTGTAATGAAGGGATTCTTTTTCAATTTTTTTAAGAGCTTCTTTTGTTAATTTCATTAGAACAGGATCATCCAGGTCTATTGGCTCAGCCTTTGTGAAATCATGTTTTTTTTCATTATCAGCATAGCAAAAAGCGTTAAGAATTTGAGGTCTTTCATTTTCTATTGCTTCAATAACACCATTACAGATTTTCATTTCTCCTTCTTTGCCATCGCAATCTGCTTTATCACATGGTATGATAACTCTTGCCTGAATATAGAAAAAGTGTTGATGGTTTTCGAATTCCTCTTCAGCATTTACAACTTCCACAAGTGTTCGTGTTTTTATTTCAAAGTCAATTTCATTGAGGTAGTCAACCATTTCTTGTGCCAGAGCGTAAAGGTATTTAGCGTTCTTAATGTTGTTTTTTATTTTATGAATTTTCTCAGTTAGTGCCATAATTTTCAAATCATGTCTATAACTTCTCCTCGTTCTCGGAACTTTTGCTTGGTTAAAGTCGAAACCGGCGGCGTCGAAAAAATTTATTAAATCGTCAATAGCCTTCTTTCTATCCTCACCTAAAAAACTATCCTTTTCCTGATATAAAGGTTCTTTGAATGGAATTGAATTATCTACTTGGTGTCTAATTATTTCAGCATTGTCAACGTTATGAACTTTCTCTTGCAAAGGTTGATCAGATTTTTCTAAAATGTTCACATTTGTTGTAGTTTCGTAAATATGACCATATGGTATGATTTGTTCTTCTATTTTTTTTATCTGTTCATCATTGAGTCCCTGGTTAGGCTGAGATTGAACATCCAAATTTTTTTCGGATTTAATAATTTCTTCAACAGAACCAGTACTAGCGCCCTTATCATTGTCAGATGTAGGATTTGGGTTATTATCAATGGGATTGTTAGTGTGTGGATTATTTTCATCGTTCGTTATTATTTCGCCTTCATCACCAAATTGCCATTCCTCTGTGCAATTATTAGATAATACGGCTCTATATTTAGAACCATCTGGTAATTTGATCCAACTCTTTTCTAATATAGATATTTTACAGATTTTTCTATCAACACATCCCTCACTCGTAGTTACACATGGTTCATATCCTATTTGTAGTATTAAAATGTATCTAACGCCATTAACGACCTACAAGAACAATAAATATATTCTGAATATAACAAACATATGTCCTGAGCCATGGAGAAAACGATACGACAAAAAATTTATCAATAAAGTATATTCCTAAGATATGTTATGAGAAGTGACTAAATATATGATTTATAATCTTTAAATGAAACTAATATTTTTCGGATATACTACGCGACTTTATTTTTGATAAAAACTAGATATTCCCGAGGTTTGAAATACTTTTCAGCACCCATGATCACGGGAAGACGAGACGTGAATGCCCGTGATCACGGTTGCTGAAAAGTACTTGAAACGTCGGGAGTATGTAGTTTTTATCAAAAATAAAGTCGCGTAGTATATCCGAAACATATTAGTTTCGTTCAAATGAATAAAATTCGCGAAAATCTTAGATCTCATTATTTAAAATAATTTATTGTCTCTACAATTTGCATACTAATTGCATTAAAATATCGTACATAACGAAAAACGTAGCCAGTGGTGGTAGACCAAAGAGGGAACACAAACATAGGATTTCAATAACATACTTATCTGTGAATTTCTTGAGTTTCGTTAATAGACAAAAATGTTGTTTTCTCCCTTTCACACATACAAAAATTTTAATTGTCATTATTGAGTAATGGTTTTGGAGTAATTAGAGGGAGCTTTTAGTGTAATGCAGTGGTAATTGTCAGACTAATGAGGTCTTTGACATTATAATGATAGTATAATAGCATATAGACTTTGTAGAAAATTGTAAATATGTATGGTAATGAGTGGTGAGTGAACTATTGGACATTCTTTGATAATACTTGGAAGCAAAGCTCACAAACTCATTAAGTATAATGAAATATAAGATTATTAAATTTTTTATTGTATAGCTGTCTCCACTTAGTAAACAAAAAAATCATATACTCACTTGAACCTGTCTCTCAACATCTAAAACCGTTTCAAGGGAATGTTTCACATTTTGTTCGTGAATATTTAAATGTTTGACACCGAGTGTTGCTAATTCTGTAACACCTGGAGCTTGAGGATTAACATGACTCGAACAGCCCACACAAGCTCCACCTGGTTGTCTTCTAGGCACAGCAATGAATTGCTCACCAGAAGTTACCTAGAACAATGATTTTAATGTAGCTAGCAACTTTAGCCTGTAGTGCATGCCTATAGCCGACAGTACATGTTATTAAACTCACCCCAGTGTTAATTTGTACTTCATTATCAAGCTGCACCGGTTTATGACTGATTATAGCCTCAGTTGTAGTACTAGTCTCATCTACAACTACTTCTTCAAGGTTAGTATCATCCACAGAATTTGCTTGAGACACCAGATCTGAATCCTCACAATGATGCTGATTATTCTGTATGCTTATCCCATTTTCATCAAGGTCCACTATTGTGGCAAAGCATTTCTGATATTTTGCATTATCCAAATCATTAATAGGTCTTGAGAGTAGCAAGGTCTCAACATTGTAACAATTTGCATCATCCTACAATAAAAAGTATAATATAGCTTCTATATTCCACAATATTATATCTTACAGCAGAAAGAAAAAATAAAGGAATAATTACATCTAAACCTATTAATGGCCTATTTTTTAAGTTATTAATGTCATTATATATACTTATGAAAAGAAATAAAACCTAATTTATGCAGGTATCATATTTTAATCATCACACTACCAAGTCCAAAACACGTTATAAATTCAGATAACTTCTCAAACTTTTAATTACAAAATAAGATATAAACAGCCAGGTCTTTGTGATAACCCTTGGTCATATTAAAATAAAAATAAGTGGTTACTCACAGTATTCTGCGCATTTAATATATAACCTTCTTCGTAGGAATAAATCTGGTTAGGTAGGTTATTTAAAAACTCGACAAAGCCATTTAGAAACTTTTCTTTTCTTTCAATACTTAATTCTGACGAACAGTAACTTATTAATAAACAAAATAACACACATTCAAGTTTCTTCATGTTGCGTTACTAAGACGAGTACATCGTCATACATACACACGAAGACTGATTGAAACTATGATGTTTACGTCATTTATAATTTTAATAAAATCAAAGGAAGAAAAATGAATCAACAATCATGATTACAAACATTGCAAAAACAAATATTTTAACATAACAAGATTATTCAATGACATTGATGTTTGACAGGCATTTATGTCGTCCAGAATTATTTATTTAACTATATTTCTTTGGATAAATATGTATTTTTTAAAAATATTGTGCTCAAATGAAAACTTTGATTTTTATTACTAAAGATATATTTATAATAATGAAGGAAAAATAGTTTTTTTTTGCAAAATGCGCTGACGTACGCAGACTTTCACAAAATTGTTTTGACGTACCTAAAAGTCTCAAAAGTTTAAAATACCGTTACTAGAGTAATGGGAATATGTTGAATAGTTATAACTATAAGATACCTCTAATATTTAAATTACGGAAATATAATAGAAGAAATGACTGAAAAAATCAGGAAAAATGCTTCTGCTAAGGACACAAATCATAGACTGTAATTAATTCAAGTATTTCAATAAAAATATGTAAAATTTCAAGGGCTATCTAATTATTAGTAATTTTTAAAAGTTTTATGTTAACTAAAGTGTTTTATTACATTTTGATAAAGCTGTGGTTTAGTATACCTACTAAAGCTAAATATCCAATCTTGTTTTTTCTACTATTGGAATTAATATTTTAAACTTTCGTAGATGGTGGATCACATTTGGATTAATTTGTGGGGCAACATTTTTTACCCGTTTCTACAAAGTTTTGGAGCCAGATCATGTATGGTAAGTGATATCAATGTATTTGATTTAACTTTAGAACATATACACTTTTGTTATTAAGGATAAACGCAAAATTATTTGGGTCCAAGTATGATATACCACAAAGAATACTATAAAATAAAAATTCTTTCTTTAAGATATGAATTTATTTTTATTATGAATCCACAAAAGAACCAAACACAAATTCTAATAGCAAATTAATTATAGTCCGAAAGTTACTCAATGTTAAAATACCTTTGCTTAAAATATATAATAACTTGTTACAATGATTTTAGTTGGGATGAAACTCATTTTGGTAAAATGGCCAGCTGGTACATCAACAGAACATTCTTTTTTGATGTCCATCCTCCACTCGGAAAGGTAATAAAAAATATAAATAAATGTTAAATAAATAGATAAATTTTATTAACAACTATCTCTTACTTTACAGATGCTTATTGCTCTTTCTGGGAAGTTGACTGGTTATGACGGTACATTTCCATTTGAGAAACCCGGTGATAAGTATGAAGGAGCAAAATATGAAGGAATGAGAATTGTGGGTCTTTAAAAATTTAAAATCTTTATCATACATATAATATTGGTTACATAAAATGCATTTCCTTATATTTTATAAAGAGTTTTTGATTTGGCTTTTGATGATTTGATTTATGTTTTTTTTATGCTTGAAAAAGATTTTAATGTGTTAATTTTATTTCAGTTCTGCACAACACTAGGTGCTCTCATCATACCTCTCACATTTTTATCGATGTGGGAAATGACAAAATCTTTGGATGCCTCTTTTCTAGGAACATTGCTACTGTTGTGTGGTATGAAACAAATTTATAGAATATAATGAAAGTATACACTTATGATTTTTGCTAAAATAGTAAGATTAATAAGGAAATAATACATTTTGGATGTTTAATTATTTATTGTAGCTCTCATTGTTATACATTTATACAAATAATAAGTTAAATTTTAATGAAGTCAGTTCTAGCTATTAGATAAAGAGTGTTGAATACAAATTAATACAAGCTATTTAGAATATTCATGTTTATGAATCTTTATTGATATTTATGAATCTTTAATGAAAAATATTCATATTTATGAATCTTTAATGAAAAATATTCATATTTATGAATCTTTAATGAATATTTATTGATCAGAAAAAATACAAATATGTATTAATTTTTTTCAGATGTTGGCTTTCTGACTTTGAACAGATATATATTATTGGATCCGATTCTTCTTTTCTTTATGAGCTGCTCTATTTATGGAGCCTGTAAGGTATGCAAGTACTGTAATAATATCATTAGATAGAAGAAAACTTTATTTTCATATATTGTATGTATATGTTTTTATGCAAATTTACAGGTACATTCTCATACAACGGCAGGTTCGCTACCATTTTCTCCTCGGATGCTTCTGTGGCAGATTTTTCTTGGTTCCTCATTAGCTTGCACTATGTCTGTCAAGTTTGTTGGACTATTTATGGTTCTGTTTGTTGGATTGAGGACTATAGCTGATCTTTGGCATGTGCTCGGTGACTTGTCTAAACCAGTGGTGAGTTTTCACATATTATACAGGTCTTTAAACATTATATATGTGTTCATTACATTTGTATCATTTTATATATGTTTTTTTAGAGTTTAACAGTGAAACATCTTATTGGAAGAAGTATAACATTGATCCTGTGGCCCATTCTTCTTTATGTATTCTTTTTCTGGATACATCTCACAGTTCTGAATACAAGGTATGGTTGTGTTCATCAAGTTCCGTTAAATACTTCTTTATTATTGTATGTTTGTTTATATTGTCATGTCCATGTTTTTGTGGCATATTAGATGAGAGAAATTCTTACTACTCATTTGATAGTAAAAAACAAATGTTTCTTAAGTTTTGAATATTCATACCGATATTGATAACAACAAAAAAGTATTGGTCAAATATTATTTAAATGTTGGTACCAAAAATATATTTTTAATAATAAATATCCAAAAAAAAAACCATTAAAAATTATGTCCAAATAAATTTAATAATTGTACTTTAATTAATTATTCACAGCGGCAACGGCGATGGGTTCTACTCTTCAGGGTTCCAGGCGGTGCTACGCGGGAACAGTCTGCACGCGGCGGCTGCCCCGCGGCAACTGGCTTATGGAGCGATCCTTACCCTGAAGAATCATCGCACGGGGGGTGGGTACCTTCACTCCCATCACCACCTCTACCCCGCGGGGGTGGGGGCCAGGCAGCAACAGGTTAGAACTATAAAGGTTTTGAGGGTCGAAAGACTTATAAAGGATAGAGTTTACAACATGGCTGCTATTTCTTTATTCTATAATGTAATGTAATGTAATCAAGTCTACTTGATTACATTACATTTCAATCATAAACAAGTAGTATATTTGATAACCGAAACAATTGTAAATACGGTAATAATCTGGAAGTACTTCTCAGATTTGGCGAAAGCTTCATCCCCATTTTGTGTGAGAGGGATGTACTTCCCCGGTCGAGCCAGCCCATGTTAGAGCTGTAGTGACCACAGCTAGGCTCTATCACTTTCTTTTTCTATAATCGTTAACCTTTTTCGTCTAGAAATATATCTTCAATTTACTCTCACATTTCTACATATTTCTAGATCACGACATACACACACAAGGACGACAACAATAGATGGCTGGTGAAGCCGTATGATAAAGAGGCGGTAGAGGGCGTGGTGGTCGTGAGGAGCGGCGACCTCGTGAGACTCACACACGTGGCGACCGGTAGGAACCTGCACTCACACCGCGAGAGGGCGCCACTAACGACCAAGTACATGCAAGTCACTGGATACGGAGAGGTATCGCAACTAAATGTTTAATTATTTATCTAAATTCTTGTAGATACTTCAAAAAGGAGAATATCTTTTTTCATTTATTTTGAGCATAGAGTGAATACGTATGAAAAAGTTTACCATGGCAATGATGTAAATGTTGCTATCATGATTATGTCTCTCAGTCCTCATAGAGTCATAGTAACTCATTCCCTATCTATAAAAGAATTAGGCTATGTTGTTGGGTAATGTTTGCCTTGATCAAGCATTCTCCATATATTCTGTTCACCTTCTTAATCCCTTCTTCCCCCTATCTATCAGATATCTGATAACCAGAACAGATACACTTCATCCTTCATTCACACACCAAATTATTGGAATAATATACCTGTGTCTCCTTCGAAATATAATTTGGGTATCATCAAGGAAAGCGTAAATAGACTGTTACTGAGACAATGCGTTCACTATATTCGATTACATGTCCATCTTCCAAATGGTGGAGTGAAAGTCAAACACGTAAGTACAATAGAAGTTAAAATAATAATAAAAATGAAACTAATATTTTCGGATTACTACGTGTTATTTTATTATATTTAAAAGAACATACTCTCGACGTTTCGGTTGCTGCAAAGCAAAACATTAAAATAACGCGTAGCAATCCGACAATATTAAATTTATTTAAATGAATATTCGCGAAGGATTTATATCTCATTAATAATTATTATTATTGACTATTGAACGAGCTGAAATCGTACAAATTTAATTCCTTTAATTTAAGGTACACCATAGTGCTTAGTTTAAGACAATATATATGATTATCACTTTAACCAATATTTTATATATAAGACTAGCTTTCGCCGCGACTCCGTCCGCGTGGAATAGTGACTTCCGGCAGATTTTTGGTTCTTCCCACATAGTTCCCGTTCTTGCGGGGTTTTCGGAATGGTTGAGTTCCCGTAGAATTTTCAGGATAAAACCTGTTTTTTTTATTCACAATGAAGTACTCTTAACCAACAACATATTTATTTGTTTATTTGAATAACGATTAATATCATTATGTTGATACAACTTAAACAAATTATTTCGACCAAATTAGGTACCATAAAAACGGTTTTTGTGAGTTAAACTTAAAAGATAGACATATACTGTTGCGGACTGTTTTTTAGATCATTAAAAGAGCTATTATTCTTTCATACATATTTTTTGTGTATCTTGAACCGTTTTCACGGTGCACGCAACGGAAGGCTTCAAAGATGAAATAATTTTTCCCGTTTTTTACACATTTACTACTATATCTTTGCTCCTATTGGTCGTAGTGTGATGTTATATAGCCCACAGCCTTTCTCGATAACTGGACTATCCAACACAAAAAGAATTATTTAATTCGAACCAGTAGTTTCGGAGATTAACGCTTTCAAACAAATAAACAAACAAACAAACAAACAAACAAACTCTTCAGCTTAATAATATTAGTATAGATATATATTCTGTTGTAGGAAGGTATTGGTGACGCCAACGACGTGTGGAAGGTGGTGGTGTCGGGAGGAGCGGACGGAGACGAAATACTCACCGTGAGAAGTAAACTCATGTTCGTACATTACTTGCAGGTGATTACTATGATGATTTTAACATACAGAATAACAAGATTTTTTGTCATATAACAAGAAATGTTAGGTATGAATGTGGAGGGATTAGGATTGAGGTAGATCTAAGAAAAGGTGAATGGATTGCATGAAGGATGAAAATAAACAAACAAATAAATAAATAAATCAAATAAATTAATTAATTAATAAGAAAAGGGTAACGGATAAAATGATGGCTGATAGGTGAGACTTTAAGAGAAGAACATGTTATGCAGACCATACATCAACTGGGACCAGGGCAGGAAGAAGAATAAATAACATTTAAATTTTGTTTAGATGCTTGATATGTATTAAATAATAGAATGCCAGAGGTTACTGTTAAGTTATATATATGTCACAATCAACTTAAGTCTGCGTTCAGTATAACTGACTTACTGATAATACTTTGACTGATGTACGTAAATAATGCAGTGAATTAAGTTGTAACTGGGATCATTTGTGGTCCTACTTTAGTATTGATCAACTATTTATAGAATTAATAGTTTGTCTTGTATTGTATTTTCTATGATCAAAAATTCATATCTGAAATTGAATGGGTGATATTAATTCATTTATTACAGTCGTGTGCATTGACGACAACCGGCAAGCAACTACCGAAGTGGGGCTTCGAACAACAGGAGGTAGCCTGCAACCACAACCTGAGGGATAAGAACGCGCTTTGGAACGTTGAGGATAATATATTCGATCAGTGTGAGCAACAGTTATGATGTGTGTGCTGAAAATATAGATATAATAGAATATCTTCTTCTTCCACTTGGCAATTTCCCAGCTTTAGCCAAGGTCTGCCTTACATTATGTAAATAGTTTTGGCTAATTGTTTTTATGACCGGCCGCCTGCCTGACATCCACCCTCTTTGGGAATACATTGATCAGTGAAGTCTAAGTACGGAAAAATTACATTGGTACTTGCCCGGGCCAGGATCGAATCCGCGCCCTCATGTATGCGAGGCGGGCCTTTTAACCACTAGGCCACCAATGATTATACACATAATAGAATATCATGAAGTTTAAAGTACTTTTTTATAAAATAAAGCAGAAGACACGTTCAATTTACGAATGATATTTGTTAAAACTAAACTTAACTTTAAATTAATTTTTCATTCTCACAGCTCGATATTATAAAATCTATTAGAAATCTAAACTATGATAATAGTTGTACCCTCAATAAAGTATTGTATATATTCATTCAGTATGTATTCACATCCACAGTACCGAAGATGAATTTCTCGGTATACGCGTCCGGTTTTTTGGAACGTCTGATAGAATCCCACGCTGTGATGCTGCAGGGTAACGCTGGCCTCAAGCCTAAGGAGGGGGAAGTGACGTCACAGCCTTGGCAATGGCCGATCAACTATAGGGTAGGACTTGAACTATATATACATTAGCATTAAATAATATTCACTTCCATAAGAGTATAGTCCTATGAAAATATTAAAAGTATGACAGTTATATTTATGTAGTTCTTCTGATATGGTCGGTTAAGTTTTATAGCTAATCATAAAAAACTTATTTATTAAAAAACCCACTCATTAATTGTCTTTTAAAGTTAATACCGTGCACGAATGATGCCTTTAATCGAGTAATCATAATAAAAAGTGCCTTACATAATTATGCAAAAGATCTGAAACTTATACCACTGGATTGATATTACCTAAATAGAGTTAAAAAAAATGTACGGAAAGTCATAAATGGAAATCTCATCAATATCAGTCGATCTCTTTGTGAGCTAGGATGACATTGACACATACACACACACACACACACACATTTTTTTTTACTTCATTGGATAAATGTATTATGTGTTATAAAGTATTGTTTAAAAGCTCATAAGCTCTATAACATAACTCCATATTAATTTTATCCTCCTTGTATGTTTTAGGGACAATTTTTCTCCGGCAGTGCCCATAGAATTTACCTCCTAGGCAATCCGGTAGTATGGTGGGCCAATCTGGCGTTTCTGGGCATATTCTGTGTGGTGTTTGTCACTAATTCCATTAGAGAAAAGCGCGCCTCAGCTTTTGGTGTTCCCGCACCAAACAACCAATGTAAGTTGAACATACTATACTTATTCTACACTCTCAGAGCTTTTTAAATCTCATTTTCAATTCAAAGAACAAAATAAGTAATTTTATTATGGCAATGCCTTTTTTTATTGGGAAGTCAAATGTGCATAGTTTACAAGATTTATGCTGACATCTTTTTGTAACAGAAAATAATTTAACTTTTTGATATTCATAGTTCAAATAATGGGCTCATGTTTATTTCTTCAATAGTTTGTAGTCGATATAATTACTCGATGTTTCGTTTTCATTATTATCAAATTCTTTTGTTACTGCATATCTTTGAATTTCATGACCTTTCACGCTAAAACTACTTAAAATAATTTGATGAAACTTTACAGTGATGTTGCTTAGACATCAGTTTGAAGTATGGGCTACGATACTAATCTTGGGATCTCGTGTAGTTCACGGTATAACATCGATAGGTCAAACATAGAAATGTATAAGGGCCAATGTAGCAATAATACTGAATTCTACAACATTCATTTAAAAAAAAGTTTATTTGTTGGAGAAGACTTAGTTTTTATAGCAGTAAAGAAGCATAAGTAACACACTTTTAAACGTATAAGGGCTTATATAATGTATAGTATAAGTAGGTTTACAAAAAAATTTATTAAGCGTAAATGCCCTGAATGTATATCACATTTGTTATGCAAAGTTTCAAAAGTATCAGTTGTCGCATGTAAAAGTACATTGAAATCAAATTCAAAACGCCTCTAACGAAAAACACATTGCACATTGGCCCTATCATAGGAGCTATCGATATTTGCATTTGGTATAAAACCATGTGATACAGACTATTCTATAGTCTGCTATAGAAGTGACTACTGGCTGGTTTCCATATCTCTTATTTCAACACATGTAATGCTTTATTCCAGGTAAGCTGTTAGTATCAGCTCGTTGGCAGTGTTGCTGTTGGTTGCTGCACTACGTCCCCTTCTGGGCGATGGGTCGAGTGCTGTACTTCCATCATTACTTCCCCGCACTCGTTTTCAGCTCGATGCTCACCGGTCAGTTCATAATTGTAATTCATAAGATATAAGACGTGTATAGTCCCTTAGAATTAAGCTGAGCTTTACATTTGTCTGAGTGCAAGTAAAAGTAGAGTTAGACAAAAACTTTTAGAATTAAATTTTAGTATATTTTAATAAGTGCGAGAGCTATTCTAGATTAAAATTAAAATAAGCAAAACTTGTAAAAGGCCAAATGGAAATATTATGAATATAATGGAAAAAAATAAGTTAATTAATAAAACTTTTGAAAAAACTATACAAATTCTTCTAAACCTGACATTGCGTTTTCAACATTTGACTCAGCTACCAGTACAAAGGTTGTTGTGCGGAAGGTGCGGGGCAGAGTAAAATACCACTGTATATAAGTTATGTACAAACTAGGTTGGTAGTGTTAAATTATTGGAGAATCCTAAAGATGCCTTTCAAAAGAACTCCTTGCATGCTTTAGTCTTTCTTTAATAGGATTTATTTTTAAGACAACTCGAACGATTATTTTTTATTCCTCCAATCCGATATAATATCTTGCATGTTAAAGTAAAAAAAAATTACATCGAATGTTTGTCAACGGATTTACTTCGAATATAATACATTATGCTATTCTCATAGAAATTACAAAACAAACAAAATAAATTAAAATAATTGTACACACCTGTTTAAATAATATAAACCAATTACGTTGGTATTATGTAAATACAGTTTTTTCTATAAATAATTTTGAGTTACTCCTTATGGTATATACGAGAAAAAATTAAGTGTTATATTTTTAACCGACCTCAAAAAAAAGAGGTTTTTCATTAGTCCCTATTATTTTTTTGTCGGAAAAGGGACATTGAAAAGGTTTTTTCATAATAAACCAAACTAGGTCTGATAATTTTATCTGAGCAATACGCATGGTCAATCGTTTGAGAGCTACGATGATACAGACGAACATACAGGCACAGATTTCAACGTCAAATTTTAAACGCCTTTTCTTAAGTCGGGGGCTAAAATTGCGTTATAAATTTTCCCTTTATTCCTTCCTCCAAGAACGACACAGAATTTAGAGATATATATTACACTAGAAGACCCGGCGAACTGCGTATCGCCCTATAATCAAGAAATATCTGTTACGTTTTTTTAATAAATAAAAGTTTATACCTTAGCCTCAGAAACACGTGGTGGTTATGCAATTATTAAATAGTCGCTCATATATGACGTTTGTATTTTTAACTTAGCGCCATCTATTGAATGCTTAACTCAGTCAAAACATAATTGTAGTAATGATAAATAATTATTTAATTATAATTGGCAATAAAATATTATGACTATAAATTGAGATGTAAGCTATCCTATCTTTCAAGGTGGATCAAAATGCACACGGAATGGAAATCAAATTTAAAATCGGTTTAGTAGTTTAGGAGTCCAACGCGGACAAACACGTGACATGAAATTTTTATAAATATAAAGATATGTCTTTGTCTCAATCTAAATATGTTTCCAAAAATCTTTCAGGTACCCTGACAATATATTTGCTGGAGAGCATCCGAAGCTACTTGAGTCCAGAGCTGGGAAGAACCCTTTATCATTGTATTATGGGCTTAATAATATCTAGTACTGTATACAGTTTCTATTTATTCTCGCCTCTCGCCTACGGCATGAGTGGTCCGATGTCACACGAACCTAACTCTACTATGACCGGCCTGAAATGGCTCGAATCTTGGGAATTTTGACCGTAATGTATATTATTAAACCGTCCTTAAAATCTCTTAGAATTTACGTAATCAATTGGTGCTAGAATAGATTTATTATTTATAAAAAAGAATCAATGTATTAATTATTATTTAATATTATAAGTATAGACATACATATATGTGAAAAGAATTTTTGTAATAAATATATACATTTTTTTATATTGATTGTTTTATTTTCATCATCGCCTTAAGAATCCATATAGAAGTTATTCAAGATCGCAGCTGACTTCAGTAACTTCGGTGTAATCGCTCCAAGGTTGCGAGAATACTTTGGACTGGCAAGGATAGCTGTCGCTTTTATCCACTACAGAGCACTCAGAGTTTGAAGGCTCGCTGTTCTCGTCCAAATCGCAGTCCGTAGCGGACACCAAGAAATTCAATACGTAGTTAGTTCCAGCCACAACTTGTTCTGAAGCCCGCGTCACCTTTATCACCTGGTAGTCTTGATCTGCACAACTGTCCTTTAGGTATTGTCTCAGAGACAGCTGCGCTAGTTTATAATGTTCGTCATTGGGCTTCACTTTACTTAACCCCCCAGTTTTCGCCAGTTCGACGACGCAAACGTTGACAGCAACAGTCAGAAGTACCAATCGAAGCCACATGGTGAGTTGAAAGTGAAATTACCGCGAGAACAGAGCAATTTAAAGGTCCATTTGACGTCACGTCACCTCGGAAGACAAAAGCCGACGTAATTTCAAGGATAATTTTTGCATGTTTGTTCAGATGTTTCTTTTTTTATTGAAAAGCCAATTAAAGTGTGAATCTTGTTTTCTATAAAGAATAGTAAATACCTACATACAGAAATAATATATGTTTTGATTTAGAATGACATTTGTTAAAACTAAACTTAAATTTAAATTATTTTTCTTTCTCACAGCTAGAAATTATAAGAGCTATAAGAAATCCCATCAATGATAATATTTTTTTTAGTTCTACCCTCAATAAAGTATTGTATGTATTAACATCCACAGTACCAAAGATGAATTTCTCGGTATACGCGTCCGGTTTTCTGGAACGTCTGATAGAATCCCACGCTGTGATGCTGCAGGGCAACGCTGGCCTCAAGCCCAAGGAGGGGGAAGTGACGTCACAGCCTTAGCAATGGCCGATCAACTATAGGGTAGGACTTGAATTATCATATTAGCATCAAATAATGTTCGCTTTCATAAGAGTATAGTCCTATGAAAATATTAAAAGTATGACAATTATATTTCTATAGTTCTCCTGATATGGTCGGTTAAGTTTTATAGCTAATCATTAAAAACTTCTTTTATTTATTAAAAAACCCACTCACCAATTGCCTTTTAAAATTAATACCGTGCACGTATGATGTCTTTAATCGAGTAATCATACTAAAAAAGTGTCTTACTTAATTATGCCACTGAAACTGGATTGATATTACCTAAAAATAGTTAAAAAAACTGTACGGAAACTGTATACAAATGGAAATCTCATCAAAATCAGTCGATCTCTTTATGAGCTAGGATGACACTGACAGATACACACACAAACAGACATCTAGATATTTTTTTGCTTCGTTGGATAAATGTATTATGCGTTATAAAATATTGTTTAAAAGTGAATAAGCTCTATAACATAACTCCATATTAATTTTATTCTCCTTGTATGTTTTAGGGACAATTCTTCTCCGGCAGTGCCCACAGGATTTACCTGCTAGGCAATCCGGTAGTATGGTGGGCTAACCTGGCGTTTCTGGGCATATTCTGTGTGGTGTTTGTCACTAATTCCATAAGAGAGAAGCGCGCCTCAGCTTTTGGTGTTCCCGCACCAAACAACCAATGTAAGTTGAACATATTATACTTATTTTTTAACTCTAAGAATTGTTTTGATCTCATCTTGCATTCAAAGTACAAAACAGGTAATTTTATTATGAATGTCTTTTTCATAAGGAAGTTAAATATTCATTATTTATAACATTTATGTTGACATCTTTTTGTAAGAAAATAATTTAATCTTTTGATATTCATAGTTCAAATAAATCGCTCATGTTTATTTCATCAATAGTTGGTTATCGAAAAAATTTCCGATGTTTCGTTTTCATTACATATTATTTAATTCTTTTGTTTCTACCTATTTTTAAATTTGGTGGTCTGTCACGTAAAAACTATTTAACGTGATTTGATGAAATTTTACAGTCATGTAGCTTAAACCTCAGTTTAAAGTATGGGCTATAATATTAAACCTGAGATCTCGTGTAATTGACGGTATAATATATGCATTTGGTATAAACCATGTGAAACAGGCTATAGACGTCACTACCAGCTAGCCAAATCGTCGGGGATAGTGCAAATCCGCGTAACCACCATTGGATAATTAAATAAATTAAACACTGAATAATTACTAATCGTTAAAAAAATCCTTAAAAGTCGTTAATTTAGAAAATATTTCAACTTAAACTTTCTTTTAATAATCTGCTTCCAATATATGTAGATAGGTGATAGATCCAATGCTAATCGCTAACTATATCTCTTGTTTCAACACATGTAATGCCTTATTCCAGGTAAGCTGTTAGTATCAGCTCGTTGGCAGTGTTGCTGTTGGTTGCTGCACTACGTGCCGTTCTGGGCGATGGGTCGAGTGCTGTACTTCCATCATTACTTCCCCGCACTAGTTTTCAGCTCGATGCTCACTGGTCAGTTCATAATTGTAATTCATAAGATATAAGACGTGTATAGTCCGTTAGAATTAACCTGAGCTTTGCATTTGTGTGAGTGCAAGTAAAAGTAGAGTTAAACAAAAAACTTTTAGAATTAAATTTTAGTATATTTTAAATAGATATATAACATAAATGCGAGAGCTATACTAGATTAAAAATAAAATAAGCAAAACTTGTAGAAGGCCAAATGGAAATATTATGAATATAATGGAAAAAAATGAATTAATTAATAAAACTTTTGAAAAAACTATACAAATTCTTCTACACCTGACATTGCGTTTTCAACATTTGACTCAGCTACCAGTACAAAGGGTGTAGTGCGGAAGGTGCGGGGCGGAGTAAAAGCAGTATAAACCGGTTCAAACATAGAAAACCACATGGCGCGCAAAAATTTGACATCATACCTAAACTATCAGTGTGCACTCATACAAAGGCAAAACTCAGCTTATACCTCGCGCACTATACCACTGTATATAAGTTATGTACAAACTAGGTTAGTAGTGTTAAATTATTATATCCTTTAGTTTGAATTAATCAATGCTGTTTATAGGACAGTTGTTATTTTTTATATTGTTATTCCATTCCCCTGGTTCTATGAAAATCTATCTCAAACATAGATAAGAGTATGTGAGTATATAATATTATGACACAGAACAGATGAACTTACGATCTTCCTCTTTGAATGTTTTATAAATTGAGAATTTCCTTTATACAGTTTTGTAATGACTACTCAGAATTTAATATTATATTATTTAATTCTGATATCACTCAGAAGTTGTAAGAAGGAGTTGTTATTGGAGTATCCTAAAGATGCATTGCAAAGGAACTCCCTGCATGCTGTAGTCTTTGTTTAATAGGATTTATTTCTGAGACAACTCGATCGATAATTTAATCTTAATATCTTGCACGTTATTAAAGTAAAAAAATACATCGAATATTTGTCAACGGATTTACTTCGAATATATTAACATTATGCTATTCTCTTAGAAATTACAACACAAACAAAATAAAATAATTTGCCACATCTGTTTAAATAATATAAACCAATTACGTTGGTATTATGTAAATACAGTTTTTTCTTTAAATAATTTTGAGTTACTTCTAATAGTATTTGCGAGAAAAATTAAGTGTTATATTTTTAACTGACCGCAAAAAAGAAGAGGTTTTTCATTTGACCCTATTATTTTTTTGTCGGAAAAGCAACATTGAATAGGTTTCTTCATAATACCAATCTAGGTCTGATAATTTTAACTGAGCAACACCCATGGTCAATTGTTTAAGAGCTACGATGATACAGACGAACATACAGGCACAGATTTCAACGTCAAATTTTAAACGTCTCGTTTTTAATCGGGGGCTAAAATTGCGTTATAAATTTTCCCTTTATTCCTTCCTCCAAGAACTACACAGAATTTAGAGATATATATTATACTAGAAGACCCGGCGAACTGCGTATCGCCCTATAATCAAGAAATATCTGTTATGTTTTTTTAATAAATAAAAGGTTATACCTTAGCCTCAGAAACACGTGGTGGTTATGCAATTATTAAATAGTCGCTCATATATGACGTTTGTATTTTTAACATAGCGCCATCTAATGAATGCTTAACTCAGTCAACAGATAATTGTAGTAATGATAAATAATTTGCAATAAAATAATATTATGACTATAAATTGAGATGTAAGCTATCCTATCTTTCAAGGTGGATCAAAATGCACACGGAATGGAAATCAAATTTAAAATCGGTTTAGTAGTTTAGGAGTCCAACGCGGACAAACACGTGACATGAAATTTTTATAAATATAAAGATATGTCTTTGTCTCAATCTAAATATGTTTCCAAAAATCTTTCAGGTACCCTGACAATATATTTGCTGGAGAGCATCCGAAGCTACTTGAGTCCAGAGCTGGGAAGAACCCTTTATCATTGTATTATGGGCTTAATAATATCTAGTACTGTATACAGTTTCTATTTATTCTCGCCTCTCGCCTACGGCATGAGTGGTCCGATGTCACACGAACCTAACTCTACTATGACCGGCCTGAAATGGCTCGAATCTTGGGAATTTTGACCGTAATGTATATTATTAAACCGTCCTTAAAATCTCTTAGAATTTACGTAATCAATTGGTGCTAGAATAGATTTATTATTTATAAAAAAGAATCAATGTATTAATTATTATTTAATATTATAAGTATAGACATACATATATGTGAAAAGAATTTTTGTAATAAATATATACATTTTTTTATATTGATTGTTTTATTTTCATCATCGCCTTAAGAATCCATATAGAAGTTATTCAAGATCGCAGCTGACTTCAGTAACTTCGGTGTAATCGCTCCAAGGTTGCGAGAATACTTTGGACTGGCAAGGATAGCTGTCGCTTTTATCCACTACAGAGCACTCAGAGTTTGAAGGCTCGCTGTTCTCGTCCAAATCGCAGTCCGTAGCGGACACCAAGAAATTCAATACGTAGTTAGTTCCAGCCACAACTTGTTCTGAAGCCCGCGTCACCTTTATCACCTGGTAGTCTTGATCTGCACAACTGTCCTTTAGGTATTGTCTCAGAGACAGCTGCGCTAGTTTATAATGTTCGTCATTGGGCTTCACTTTACTTAACCCCCCAGTTTTCGCCAGTTCGACGACGCAAACATTGACAGCAACAGTCAGAAGTACCAATCGAAGCCACATGGTGAGTTGAAAGTGAAATTACCGCGAGAACAGAGCAATTTAAAGGTCCATTTGACGTCACGTCACCTCGGAAGACAAAAGCCGACGTAATTTCAAGGATAATTTTTGCATGTTTGTTCAGATGTTTCTTTTTTATTGAAAAGCCAATTAAAGTGTGAATCTTGTTTTCTATAAAGAATAGTAAATACCTACATACAGAAATAATATATGTTTTTGCTCCATTTACAAATAACCATTTCTTGTGTTAGTATATTTTATTCATTAATTTACTTAGGTATTTTTTTTTGGTGTCGACTTGACTGTGGCTGCTAGAACTATTGGCTTCGTCAGCGTCACGGTGTAGGGTCGGTTGTCCCAGGCCGTAAAATACGTAAAGGGGTACGCCATTCCTAAGAGTGCTTCTAAGAGGCTGAACCGCGGCTTTGAATCTCCTCGAAGGAGGTAGCATCAAGGGCCATACCCTGCGTGACGTCCACCCTAGCAAAGAGGCCGGAGTGATGAATATAAAAACGAGAGCTCGTCCTTGCCGGCGTATGTGTTTTATCAGTGTGTCGTTGTGGCATTTGTGCCCGTATTTTCGGAAGTAATTTTGTTATTAGGGTCTACTAATTTGACTTTGGGACACCTCATATACGAGTACATCGATGGTTTGAGGGTCGCGTATCAAACCTCCGCTTTCTTCTACTCTATGTGGGAAAGAAAAGATAGTCTTTTCTCAAAACAATACAGAAGAGAGAGAACATATTTAATACATGGGTTACCTGCAACTTGCAAGTGTAATGTAGGTGACTTCGTATGAAATTTTGTTGAAATGGAGCTCAAAGTTAGAGATTTTAATATCCATATTTCAAATTGATACTTGATTTGTTACGATGTAGGCACCTACATACGGGATGTCATTTTATATAAGTATGTAGACGAGTATTACTTTTAAGTTTTGTTATTTTCATTTTATTTAAGTTTCATCATATATTGCACTGTATATTTACGAGTATGACCAGTGTTCATCACACTAGGTACACAACGTTTCCAGCTTATTACTTACAAATACTTTAGTATTAACATAGGTCATTCAATCATCGTGGAGCACCGCCGTGTTCTCAGGAAAACGAACGACGACGTCTCCTTATTGCGCAAAGAAGTGACGCTAGCAAGGGTGGATGAAGAGCGCGTTAAGGAACGATCTTCCTCACGCCCCAGCCGTCACAGGAGTCGCACCGTGGTTGTGAAGTTAGGAATCATGAGCCACTATGAGCGCGGGTCTGATGACAGTGAGCAAGAATAGCTCACCTCCCGACCAGATCCAGATCCGAGCGTACGGTGCATAGCGTACTGTTCTCCTGTATGGGCTATCAGAAGCCCTATACATGGAAGTCTAGAGCCGATGTCAGGTGCGGGTGCATGCCCAATGGTTTACCATGGCCTGGCTCGGACTAGGAAAAGGTACGGAGGTTTTTAGTCAGTAGGAGTTTGACACTCCCTTTTGCTCCACCCAGGGTTAAGAGTCATATTATGATTTTTCTCCTAAAAAAAAGGTCAGTAGGTAAGTAAGCCACGGAGAACGCTTCGTATGTAGAGACACGTTACAAACAAACTAACTAATCATATCGATCGTTACGCTTTATGGAAATAAAATTTTATCCTAATTTTTACTAAAGTATATCATCCTTATAACATTAAGAGGGGATTTATAACGCAGGATTTAATAATAAATCAATAATTTAATATAGTTTTATTTCCCAATTACCACATAAATGACGAATCAGTTAAAGGCTCTCGCAGTCCACGGTTATTTCCTTCGGACTCAAATCGACGGGCTCGTATATTTCTGAATTACAACTCAACATGTTCAAAACTCCAAGCGGTTGTGCGTTGAATTGTAATCTGGTAATTAATCCAGCTACAAGTTGTTCCGTTGCTTTTGTTACTTTAATGACCAATAGGTTTCTTTGGCCAGTCTGTTCTTGGTACTTATCCAATGATTCTTGAGCCAATGCATAATATTTTGGGTCGTTAGGATCCTTGACGACAATGCCCCCATCAATGTGTGCCATCTAAATTAGATTATTTTTTTACAATTTATTGAAAAGAAATTTATAATTACTAAATAAACATTGTGACTGTCTGTTACTTCCTTCACGTAAAGTAAAGAGGGAAAAGGTATAAACACAATCTTATTAATGAATGAGAGGATAAAAAAAGATTTATACTTTACATATTCAATACATTTCTTATTTGGAAAGTATAATTCATAAAAATATCAATCTTTTCATTCCCTATTGATGTTTGGTAGTTCACATATTGGTGGAGTACAGTTCTTAACTTTTTGAAACTTAAATCCGGAACCTACTTCTCAGGAAAATTGAACATTGGTACAAAATTGCTTAAGTTGTATAAGTAAAGATACACTAGTTTAATTTTTCCCTAACACAATATTATTAGGAATATAATATATGTCATTTATTTACTCAACTGTAATTCTTTACAATTTTTGTTGTATGTGGAATGTACCTATATATACACAAACATTTGTTCTTAATTTAGAGATAAGTAAATACTTAAGTCTTTTATATATCCTTAGTATGCTTATGAAGTACTTTATTTTAATTATTTATACTAAAATGCTCTAATAAACCTAGAATATACGCAGTGCTAGAAGGTTGTATAATCAGTGTTAAATATCTTTAAAAAAGAATCTGCGTAGGTAATTAGGATAAAATTTTTAATACTTATAATATACATATGAATATCTTGAAGTAATAAACAGAATGGGTGTGTATTTTGTAAAAGTATATATTACATTTAATATTAGAGACTCTGTGATGCTTCAGAAGTTTCTTCAAGAAAAGAAAAGATATTATCTATACTAATATTATAAAGCTGAAGAGTTTGTTTGTTTGTTTGAAAGCGCTAATCACCGAAACTACTGGTTCGAATTGAATAATTATTTTTGTGTTGGATAGTCCAGTTATCGAGGAAGGCTGTGAGCTATATAACATCACGCTACGACCAATAGGATCAAAGATATAGTGGTAAATGTGTAAGAAACGGGACAAATTATTTCATCTTTGAAGCCTTCCGTTGCGTGCGCCGTGAAAACGGTTCAAGATACACAAAAAATATGTACATATTAAAGAATAATAGCTCTTTTAATGATCTAAAAAACAGTCCGCGACAGTATATGTCTATCTTTTAAGATTAACTCACAAAAACCGTTTTTATGGTACCTAATTTGGTCGAAATAATTTGTTTAAGTTGTATCAACATAATAATATTAATCTTTATTCAAATAAACAAATAAATAATTTGTTGGTAAAGAGTAATTCATTGTGAATTTAAAAAACATAGGTTTTATCCTGAAAATTCTACGGGAACTCGACCATTCCGAAAACCCTGCAAGAACGGGAACTATGTGGGAAGAAACAAAAATCTGCCGGAAGTCACTATTCCACTCGGACGAAGTCGCGGCAAAAGCTAGTTACAGATAAAAGAAAAGAAAAGAAATTATTTATATTCAGCTATTAAGTATTTATTATAAAAAAAAGCAAGATAATAAAAAAATCTTTTAAACGAAAGCCCATGCAGTTTTGGTACTAAAAAGTGATAAAACGTATTAATTAAATACAATAATAGTATATTTAAAAAAATGAAATATACTTGTGTTAAAGGATATATATTTTCTACCGGCTGTCATAATATAAATCATATTTTAATCAAACCAACATACTACGGAGACCCGCTTATAGTAAGTCGATCTAGTATATCGAATAATATAACTTTTCTCTTTTTTTTTAGCCTTTCGAAGCCCACTGCTGAGCAAGGCCTCTTTCTCTCATGAAGAAGGTTTGAGTGTTAATCACCACGCTTGCTCAAGACGGGTTGGTGATTTCAAACTTATAATTTTTTGAAATTAAAGGTCCAGGTTTTATCACGATGTTTTTCTTCACCGTCTGTCAGTGGTGTCTAAATACTCTTAAAAAGTACATATGACTCGGAAAAAATCACATTGGTACTTGCCAGAGCCAGGATCGAACCCATGCCCTCGGCAACGAGAGCTGGGCCCTTTAACCACAAGGCCACCACTGACTATATAACTATTATTTAGTGCATATTATTTATTGTTAGTATATTCTTATTTCAATAACATTAATATTCTTACCACTGGCGAGTAAAACAATGCGTTGAAGATGAATATACCGTAGACAAAATAAGCTAACTCCATGTTGAACAATAAAGATGGTGTGACGTGTCACTGAGGTTGTATGTGATGACATTGGAACAATAACTTTTATATATAAAGCAACGTTTGTGAGTGATTAGCGGAGAGACGCGGTTCATATACAGAAGGTAGAAATTATATTTAAGATTAAAATTTAAATTGTATTTTTAATATTTAATTGAATTAGTGCTAGAACAGATATAAGACTCTTGCAATTGCACTAAAAAATTATTTGTCTTATTACATTGAATTCTATTTGATATTTTTTAATAATAGTAAATGAAGGTGAGGTGAAGAGCAGAAGATAGAGCTCTGTGGCGTGTTATAAAAGGTGCTTATGTTCAGGAGTTGACTGACAATACAACATAAAACAGAATCATGATTTACTAGCGATGTACTCATTAAACATACTTATTTATTATTTGAAATATAAATTAAAAAATATAGTTATGAACACCATATAAGACTCAACATATTAAGAAATTAGGTATATATCGTAGAAAACTAATCAATTTTTACGGTAATATGCAATTTTTATTATATATATTGTTACTATATTTAAAGGTATTTAAAGTATTGATCGTCCTGAAATAAGGAAATATTATAACAGAACTTGTATTCGTACTTAATCTCATCGTGACGATGTCTCTGTAAGACACCCACAGTCTGTGATACATTTAATAAATTAATATAAATATATCATCGTTTATTCCGGTCGATGATTGTCACGTGAAGGTGAGAATCAATAAGTATTTAAAAATGTGTATCTTAAATAATACACGATTATGATGAAATTAGTCGTAAATACTTACATACGTTACTCAAACATTAAGTTGTTAGTGCAATTATTTACCGTGACCGATATGAATTTACTTGGCGTTAAATTTAAACCATGAATTGACAAACGTCATCAGGTAAGTGTCTGTACTCGAGAGCGTATTTATTATGGAACATAAGGTATATCGATGGTTTAAGGGTCGAAGAGAAAACAGTCGTTTTACTAACGGTACGGTAGAGAAATAATAATAAAAAAATCAGTGTCTAAGCCCTAAGGTTTACAAAAGGCGGTCTGAATTATTTGCATTCTCTTCCGGACAATTTGAGTTCAGATAGTATTGACTCAGACTATAGTGATGGTGGTATTATAATATGCATACGTATATACATACTTATTTAAAAATTGGTACTACCACATAAAAGCTAGTAATTTTTTAGGTGGTAGAGCCTAGCTGCAGTCAAATTACTGCTGCTCGAACTTGGGCTGGCTCGACCAGGGAAGCACCACCATGAATTGTGTTTAAATGTCTACACAAGTTAGTGAATGACGAGAGAGTATATATATATATATATATATATATAGTGGACACAACACAGCCAAGTATGTGTGTTTGTATGTAAGAGGTATAATACAAAAATATATCTACTCTGTCATTTGTTCTCACAAGAAAGTTTTGCCTTTTTAAAAGAAATATTAAGAGGTTGTGTGTCCTCTTGGGAATGAGTCGAAAACCCTAGTCCTTTAGAAGGCTTTCGAGTCATGGTGTTAATGACATTTAACGAAGAACGGCTTTCTAATTTTAAGAAATGACTAGTAAACCCGGCGAACTCCGTTTCGCCACCAGAAGGGTTTCATATAACATTTCTTTTGGTCATTAAAAGATGAAGATTTTTTTTTTGTTTTATATTTGGAAAGGAAAATTTTTATTTCATTTCACAACAGTAATGAATTCATTTCGATTACAAAAATGAAGTGTTATTTAGTTGAACTTCTCTAAGTAAATAAAAGTGAATCCAAAGTAGATACCGAATCGAAGCGTTATACGTGTCCGCAAATTATCCGTTTCATTAAAGTGCTCGTTTGTAAACCATATTTTTTGTTTTTTGGTCTAACTTTAACACAAATAAAGCGGATGGTCTCCAAACTCGTGAACACGCAAAATATAACGCCCATGAGAAAAACAATGATTTTCTACATTTATCCCGCAAATACTAAATCGTTTTAAGAGTTTAAACTACAAACACAATACCGGTTTGTCACATGAAATTAACTGAGCAGAGAACAATGAGTAGCTGTCAAACAATGTATCTTGCACCGGCACCAATTACTTAGAATATTGATTTGTAGTAGGTACATGTTATTTATGATTGTGCTGTATGTGAAATAAGATTTTCCCGCTTTTCTGTTGAAATATTTTGTTATAAACCTCACGGAGCCCGAAACCTTTCCAACGAAAACCGGACTTATTTTTATATAGTAGATCTCTTACAAATATCTCGATACCTCCCACGTAAGTTGTTGTAAGCCACAAAAATGCTATTTTGCTTTTTTTATGAAAAATATCCTATTTTTGATCATTACATCCATTCAAATTAAAAAAACAACAAAAACACTATTTTTAAAGGAGTTGTCAGACGTATAATGTTGTAATTTTCAAAGGCGAACGGATTAAACTGATGTATATGCCTTTGCAATTGTTTACGCGGGGCGCGAGGTGGGTAAAAGCACGCGCTCGCGCCTCGTATGAGTTACATACAACAGAGTAAGACTTATGTTTTTAAATTTATACAGTTGTAACTGTCATATACCACAGGTAATGCTACCTGGGCATCGCGGTATAATGTTGTAAGTATCAGATACAACACCTTTTTTAGCTTCTACTATAATGTCGTATGAACAATATGACAGCAATATCTCCGCAAATAGGCATATTAATTAAAATATCTTTTAACGTAGTTAAGAAGACTATTATATTAAATTTAAATAAGAAATTTTAAAAAGATGCATCAATAAATGCAGATTTTGGTTTAATTTTAATCTTTGAAACGATCTACTGTAAAATTACATTTTTTGAGATACAACAACTCACGTGCGAGGTATCGATCTAATTGTCATCATTACGTCATTACATGTCTGTCATTATACGTCAATTGCATAGCTGTCAATTGTATTTCGTTATTCCACGTTTTATAGTGACTGAAGTTTCATGTCAAGTCCCACGGGAATGCTGTCGAACGGGATGAAAAGTATCCTATTGCATTTTCCTGGCTCTAAACTACCTCCCTGCCAATTTTCAGCTAAATCGGTTCAACCCTTCTTGAGTTATAAGTGGAGTAACTAACACGACTTTTTTTATACATATAGATAGTCTTTTCTCAAAACAGTACAGAAGAGAGAGAAAATATTTGATACATGAGTAACCTTCAAGTGTAATGCAGGTCAATTTTCTTGAAATAGAACTCAAATTTAGAGCATTAATTTGTAGGAATGTTGCCATTATTATAAAGTTAGTACACATATTTCAGATTGATACTTGATTTTATACAATGTACCTAATTAGGGATCTTATTTTTAAAAAGTATGTAGATAAGTATTACTTTTACGTTTTGTTATTTTCATCATAAAATTTTATCATATATCGCATTGTGTACAGCTACACACTACGAACCCGACGTTTCTAACTTATCACTCACAGATACTTTAGTATTAACGTAGGTCATTCAATGCTTTGTATGTACCTACATAAAAAACTTTGTATGTAGCGACGATGCAAACTTTTCATCATCATATTGATGGTCTGTTTTTATGGAAATGGAAACGTATATTCTACTTTTTACTACGGTATATCCTTCCTTATAACATAGGGAGGGGAAAAATAATACAGAATGTAATAATAAATCAATAATCGAATTTATTATATTTTTATTTCCCAATTTCCTAATAAATTTAGTTTCCCACTATGTACATAAATGGCTTACGAGTTAAAGGTACCTCACAGTCCACAGTAATTTGCTTCTGACTCGAATCTAGGGGCACCAATATTTTTGAATTACACATCAGAAAGTAAATTTGGTCAAGCGGTTGTGCGGTGAAGTGTAATCTGGTAATTACTCCAGCTACAACTTGTTCAGTTACTCGTGTGACTACAGTGACCACCAGGTTTATTTGGCCAGTCAATACTTGGTACTTCTCCAATGATTCTTGAGCCAATGCATAATATTTTGGATCGCTAGGATTCTTATTGGTCTCACCCTCAAGAACGTCTGCCATCTAAATCAGAGTTTTTTTTACAATTTATAGAATAGAAATTGATATAAACCTTATATGTAATTACAAAATAAACATTGCGACAATCGATTACTTCATTCTAGCAAAATAAAGGGGAATAAAGTTTTAACACAACGCCAGAAATCTTATTAATGAAAGGTAGAAAAAAAAAACATAAAAATAATATATTGCAAGAGATAATGTTGTTTTGTTTCGGAGTTTATTAGACTTTTTTTTTATGTTAAAGGGGGCAACCGAGCAGACGGCCTACCTGATGGAGGTAGTACCGTCGCCCATGTGTCACCACCCTTGACTTGGGGAGAGGGGAAGGAAAAATGGTAAGGGGAGGAAAATGGGAAGGGGTAGGAAAGGATGTAAAAAAGGGAAAGGGCAACCGGCTCTCTCACTCATCGAACGAAACGCAGCAACTAAGGCTACTTCACGCCTATCTTCTGTGAGAGGGTGGTACTTCCCCGGTCGAGCCAGCCCATGTTCCCATGTTCAGCCCATGTTATATAATGCAAAACTCTAGCAAATGAAACTGTGTTTGAGTATATTGGACCATGGTATTAACTCCATCAGGGAGGCCATCAGGTCATTTTCGTATTTTGACAACAAAAGAATAAATATAAAACTTAAATGTCTAGAACTTTTATAGATTTTAAAAAATATTTTCTGCTTTAGACATTTATATTTTAGTGAAAGAATTCCACAATTTAATAGCATGAATAGTGTTCAAATGTCTATACAAGTTAGTGTGTTAAGAGATAGGCCATGTCCCGTAGTTAACAGGTCACGGCTAAAGATGTGCATTTATAAGTAAGAGGAACAAAAATATATCTATTATTTAATATATGTATGTATACATAATATAATATTTTATTTGCTCTTACAAGAAAATTTCGTCTTTTACTTTAAAAAATTGGTTGGAAAGCATATATATGAGAGGGAGATTGTCCTTGTTGCAATGATTGGAAACTTATTCTTTGAGAGGCATTCGTGTCTTGATGTTAATGCTTGTAAAAGAATAAAGATAATATTTAATATATACGACCTGCCAGTGTAATGTTAGTGATTTCGTACGAAACTTGGTTGAAATGGAGCTCTTAGTTAGAATAATAAATAATTGTATAAATTTTGTAATAATTTAAAATTAATATCGATATTTCAGATTGATGCTTGATTTGATACGATATACCTAAATATGGGATCACATTTTATATAAGTATGTAGACGAGTATTACTGTTAAGTTGTGTTATTTTAATTTTAATTAAGTTTCATCGTATATTGCACTGTATACTTATCACCAGTTTTCATCGTCACACTAGGTACGCAACGTTTCCAGCTTAACACTCACAAATAATTTAGTGTTAATGTAGGTCATTAAATAAGCAACTTCAAAGGCTTGTATGTAGTGACGATACAAACTTGTAATTATATTGATCGTCAGGCTTTATAGAAATAAAATTATAATCTAATTTTTACTTCATCATATCGTCCTTATAACATTAAAAGGGGAAGTATAACACAGGATTTAATAATAAATCAACAATCAAATTTTATTATATTTTTATTTCTCAATTTCCCAATAAATTTTGTTTCCCACTATGTAGTTACATAAATCCCTAACGAAGTAGAGGCCGTTCACAGTCCACATTAATTTCATCGACTATACTCGGCTCGCCCATCATATAGTCGAGGGGCTCTAATATTTTTGATTTACAGAGCAATAAGTAATTTTGGTCAAGCGATTTTGCTTCGAATACTAATCTGATAATCAATCCAACGTCAAGTTGTTCGGTTGCAGTTTTTACTACAGTTACCACCAAGTTTCTATGTCCAGTCTCTTCTTCGTACTGCTCCAATGATTCTTGAGCCAATGCATAATATTTCGGATTGTTAGGATCCTCGACGACCTCACCCCCAAGAAGTTGTGCCATCTAAATTAGTTATTTTTATTGAATATAGATTATTACTAAATAAACATTGCAACTGTCTGTTACTTTAGTATTAACAAAACGCCAAAAATCTTATTAATGAAAGAGAGAATTAAAAAAATATATGAAAATAAAAAAAAAATATACATAGCAAGAGATATTATTTTTCTCTTTCCGAATTTATTAGGCGTATAATATGTTTTTTATTTATACAACTTTAATTCTTTATAATTATTGTTGTATGTGGATTGTATATACACAAGTATTTGTTCTTTAGAGATAAGTAAATACTAAAGTCTTTGTTATATCTACAGTTGCTTATGAAGAACTTTATTTTAATAATTTATAATCAAGAGCTCTAATACACCTAGAATATATGTTAAGGTTAGGTTATATAAATATGTATATTAAACTTTTAAATAAATATATTTTAAAATATAAGAGATTAGGTGTTTATTTTGTGTAATTGTATATTACGAGTATATTTAATACCAGTTATTTTTTAGTTCTTCAGAAATTTCCTTACAAATAACAGAAAAGAAATTACTTATATTCGTTATTCAGCTATGAATAATTTATCATTAAAAAAAAGAAAGATAATAAAAACTATTTATCTTTTAAATGAAATCAGTTTTGGTACTAGAAAGTGATAAAAGTAGTCAAGAAATAAGATGTTATGATCAGGACATATAAAAAAGTTAAAACCAGTGTGTTTTAGATCACACGACTGAAGCAAAACTACTTTTGCTCTCTCTATAAGTATATGCATATGTTTATAATAGATATTTCTTTTTATTTATTATTTTCATTATATTCATCATCGCATACATCAGTTATTACTGTGGTTGATTTTAAGACCGAAACAATATTTAAATGATATGAGATATCGAATGAAGATTAGTAAAATATCTAGAGAAAACTAAAAACGAATTACTGACTGAGATATCTATATATACGTATATCAATATTTCGCGCCACTGCTCTCTCCCTTGCCCTCACAGTAATATACAAACCGTAACACTATCTCTATCTATCTTCACTAACTTATATCTCCCTCTCTCTTTCGTTCGCCTCAATCTATCACATTTTCGTAACCCATTCACCAGCTTACTCCCAAGTTAAGCGTTTTTTGTACTAGAGGTTTTCATAGCATAAATCATACTTTAATCAAACCAACATACTACGGACACACGCTTATATTTAGTCGATCTAATATATCGAATAATATAATTATTATTTAGTGCATATTATTGTTAGTATATTCTTACTCAAGTAACATAAAAGTTCTTACCACTGGCGAGTAAAACAATGCGTTGAAGATGAGTATACTACAGACAAAATAAGCTAACTCCATGTTGAAAAATAAAGATGGTGTGACGTCTCAAAGAGTTTGTATGTGATGACATTGTAACAATAACTTTTATATATAAAGCAACGTTTGTGAGTGATTAGCGGAGAGAAGGTTCATATACAGAAGGTAGAAATTATATTTAATATTAAAATTGAAATTGTATTTTTAATATTTAATTGCCATTGAATTAGTGCTAGAAAAGATATAAGACTCTTGAGGATATAAGACTCTAAGGAATGATTTGACTTTTTTATTAAATTTCTTTTAATGTTTATTAACTTCGAATCATAAATAATGCCAGCTAAGAAACTCGAAAAATCTGAAATTGAATCAAGTACTTAGTAATTTAAAACATTCTTTCTGGAATTGTATATATGTAGTATGTACCTAATTAAAATATATTATAATAAAGAACCATGATTTACTAGCGATAAACTTTTCAAATAATAAATATTTCTATTTATTATTTGAAATATAAATAAAAAAATATCGTTATGAACACCATATAAGACTATACGAATTAAGAAATTAGCTATATATCGTAAAAAACTAATCAAGTTTTCACGGTAATATATATTTTTTAATTTATATATTGTTATTAAATTTCAAAGTAATTTGTCCTTAAAGATATAAAAAATTATAACAGAATTTATATTCGTACTTAATCTCATCGTGACGTGATGATCTCTGTATGACCGCCTGTGATACATTTAATAAATGAATATAAATGTATAGTGCGTTTTATTTAAGCTGAGCTTTGCATTTGTGTGAGTGTACACGGATAGTGTAGGTGTGTTGTCAAATTTTTGAATACCACGTTCTTTTCTAGTTTTTAACCGGTTTATTCTGAAACTCCGCCCCGCACCTTCCGCACTTCACCCTTTGTACCGATAGCAACTTCAAATGTTGAAAATGCAATGTCAAGTGAAGAAAAATTTGTATTGTTGATTTTAAATTTTTATTACTTAATTTTTTTTCCCTAATATTTCTATTTAGCCTTTTACATGTTTCGCTTATTTCATTTTTAATCTAGAATAACTCTCGCACTTATGTTATGTATCTATATAAATATAATAAAATTTTATTCTAAAACTTTTTGTCTAACTCTACTTTTACTTTCACTCACACAAATGCGAAGCTCAGCTTAAGTCTAACGGACTATATTATCATTTATTCCGGTCAACGATAGTCACGTGAAGGTGAAAATCAATATTTAAAAATGTCTATCTTAAGATCATTCAACATTATGATGAAATTAGTCGTAAATACTTACGTAGTGGTAGGTAGGTGGTAGAGCCTAGTTGTGGTCAATTACTACAGCTCAAATATGGGCTGGCTCGACCGGGGAAGTACCACCCTCTCACAGAAGATCAGCGTGAAGTTGACTTTAATGGCTGCGTTACTTCCAATGAGTACGGGAGCATGTTGCTCTTTCCCTTTTTCAACCCTTTTCTGCCCTTTCCCCAAATAAGGGTGGCAATACATCTGCAAAATACTTTTGCGGATGTCCTTGGATGCTGGTACTACCTCTTCATCAGGGAGACCATCAGGTCATTTGTACTCTTTGACATTAAAAGAATAATTTTAAAGTTAATATCCATATTAATATTCAGATTGATGCTTGATTTAATGTGGATCTCATTTTATATATTATGTATGTAGACGAGTATTTCTTTTAAGATTTGTTATTTTAATTTTAATTACGTTTCATCGTATATTGCACTGTATACTTATAACCAGTTTTCATCGTCACACTAGGTACGCAACGTTTCCAGCTTATCACTCACAAATACTTTAGTATTAATGTAGGTCATTAAATAAGCAACTTGAAAGGCTTGTATGGAGTGACGATACAAACTTGTAATCATATTGGTCGTCAGGCTTTATAGAAATAAAATTATATTCTAATTTTTACTTCATCATATCGTCCTTATAACATTAAAAGGGGAAGTATAACACAGGATTTAATAATAAATCAACAATCAAATTTTATTATATTTTTATTTCTCAATTACCCAATAAATTTTGTTTCCCACTATGTAGGTACATAAATCCCTAACGAAGTAGAGGCCGTTCACAGTTCACAGTAATTTCCTTCGGACTTGAGTCGAGGGGCTCGAATATTTTTGAATTACAGAGCAATAAGTAATTTTGGTCAAGCGATTGTGCGTCGAATATTAATCTGGTAATCAATCCAGCCACAAGTTGTTCGGTTGCTCTTCTTACTTCAAGTACAGCCAAGTTTCTATGGCCAGTCTGTTCTTGGTACTGCTCCAATGATTCTGCAGCCAATGCATAATATTTCGGATCGTGAGGATCCTTGACGACCTCTTGCCCAACAAGCTGTGCCATCTAAATAAGATTTTTTTTTACAATTTATTGAATAGAAATTGATAATTATTAAATAAATATTGTGTCTGTCTGTTATTTCCTTAACGTTAAATAAAGGTGAAAAAAATATTAACACAACGCCAAAAATCTTATTAATGAAAGAGAGAATTAAAAAACTATGAAAAATTTATACATAGCAAGAGATATAATTTTTTTGTTTCGGAATTTATTAGGCGTATAATATATGTCATTTATTGAACCAACTGTAATTCTTTACAGTTTTTGCTGTATGTGGAATGTATATACACAAGTATTTGTTCTTTAAAGATAAGTAAATACTAAAGTCTTTTTTATATCTATAGTTGCTTATGAAGTACTTTATTTTAATTATTTATAATGAAGAGCTTTAATATACCTAGAATGTAAGAGGTAGTGATATGGATCTATAATCAGTTTCTAATATAAAAAAATAATAATTTGCTCAGGTAATTAGGATGAATTTTTAATGTAATAGATGAATGTATCAAAACCCTTAACTAACAAAGGGACGAGATGTTTATTGCTTTTATTTTGTTTTTAATATTACATTTATTAGGTGCCGAGGTGGTCTAGATGTTAAAAGCCCGTCTCTGGTACACGCGGGCGCGGGTTTGAAACCTGGCAAGTACCGATATGATTTTTCCGAATCATATGTACTTTCTAAAGTTTTTAGACACCACTTATAGATGGGGAAGGAAATCATCGTGAGGAAACCTAGACTTATAATTTACAAGTTACAAGTTTGAAATCGCCAACCCGCAGTAAGCAGGCGTGGTGATTAACGCTCAAATCTTTTCCAAGTGAGAAGATGCCTTTTTTCAGCAGAGGACTATGATAGGCTGATGAGGACATATTATATTTAATATTAGTTTCTCTTTGGCCCTTTAGAACTCTGCCTACAGATAACAGAAAGTAAATTACTTATATTAATTTATTCAGCTATTAAGAATTTATATCATTTAAAAAAGGTAATAAAAACGTTCTAACTTTTAAACGAAAGCTCATGCCGCCTTGCCACCAGAAAGTGTCAAAAATAGTTGAGGGAAAAGAGGTAATAACCAGTGCATTTAAAATTAACTAATTTTTGATATATGTATATATGTCTAAAGAGATATAAATCTAAATATTTTTTATGACCGTTTGTCATAACATAAATCATATTTTAATCAAACCAACATACATGCTTATATTTAGTCGATCTTATATATAGAATAATATAACTATTATCTAGTGAATATTATTGTTAGTATATTATTATTCAAATAAAATAAAAGTTCTTACCACTGGCGAGTAAAACAATGCGTTGAAGATGAATATACTACAGACAAAATAAGCTAACTCCATGTTGAACAATAAAGATGGTGTGACGTGTCAAAGATGTTGTATGTGATGACATTGGAACAATAACTTTTATATATAAAGCAACGTTTGTGAGTGATTAGCGGAGAGACACGTTTCATATACAGAAGGTAACAATTATATTTAAGATTAAAATGGTATTTTTAATACATATTTAATTGACATTGAATTAATGCTAGAACAGATATAAGACTCTTGCAATTGCACTAAAAAATAATTTGTCTTTTTTTAATAAAATGAATGTATTAAAAAAGACAAATCATTCCTTAATTTCGAATCGTAAATAATGCCAACTAATAAACTCGAAAAATCTGAAATTAAATCAAGTACTTAGTAATTTAAAACACTCTTTCTAAAATTGTATATAGTATGTACATAATTAAAAATATACTATAATACGGAATCATTATTTACTAGAGATGATCTCATTAAACTTTTCTATTTATTATTTGAAATATAAATAAAAAATATCTTTATGAACACCATGTAATACTTAACGTATTAAGAAATTAGCTATATATCGTAAATAACTAATCAAGTTTTTACGGTAATACATATTTTTTATTATATATATTGTTATTAAATTTCAAAATTATTTGTCCTTAAAGATATGAAAAATTATAAGAAAACTTATATTCGTGCTTAATCTCATCGTGACGATGTTTCTGTATGACCCCCAGTGATACATTTAATAAATGAATATAAATGTATCATCATTTATTCTGGTCAATGATAGTCACGTGAAAGTGAAAATCAATATTTAAAAATGTCTATCTTAAATAATACACGATTATGATGAAATTAGTCGTAAACACTTACGTTACTCAAACATTAAATGGTTAGTGCAATTATTTACCGTGACCAATATGAATTTAATTGGCGTTAAGCTTAAACCATGAATTGACGAACGTTATAAAGTAAGGCTCTGTACTCGGGAGCATTTCTATTCGTAAAAAAACATTCAACAAAACTTCATAGTATTACAAACAAATAATGTAAAATTGTAACTAATAAACTCTTTATAATTTAATAAAAGTAGTAATAATGACATGGTTAATATAAATAAGTATTACAGTTTGTCTGATTGATATATTTTGCTATTTATGTTTCAATAACCTCCACGATGCTGCCTTTTATAAGATGTATGGTACGTTTGATTGAAGCTGAGCTTTGCATTTGTGTGAGTGAACACGGATATTGTAGGTATCATGTCAATTTTGTGCGTGCCACGAGTTTTAAGAAATATTATCAACTAGCTGTCCGCCCGCAGCTTCCCCTTCGTGGAGTTCGATCATATCGCGTTTCCAAGAGAACTTTCTTTCAAAACTCTGGGATAAAAACTTTCCTATGTTCTTTCTCAAGATCAACTCCATCTCTGTACCAAATTTCATTAAAATCAGTTCAGTGGTTCAGGCGTGAAAGCGTAATAGACAGACAGACAGAGTTACTTTCGCATTTATAATATTAGTAGGTATTAAATAAAATATATAAATTTTCGTTGGATTAGTCTTGTTTTAAATTAAATAATACTATGCAATTATTTCTTAACACGCATTAGAACGAGTTATGAAGTTATTCATTTCTAAATTGCAATGTAATTATAGTATTGCTTATGAAAAGATATAGCTGTTATTTAATTTATCATAGTAATTTTTATACAATTTTATTTCTTTATATCAAATGTAGTGTAACTGTTATTCTATAAAAAAAATTAAAAGGTTAAAAAAATATATACAAAGAGTAATAAAAGTGAACTTTTGTACCTAATCTTGAGTAAAAAAAAAATTACAAAAATAATATTTCATTAAAAGTGACCGACGTTATCATTCATTGACCTACGAAAATTTGTGAATCATTAACACTTCAAGAAAAAATACTTCCGCATCTAATATTTAATGTATATTTCAATCTCAAGAGATTGTTCGCCATTATCAGAATAATGTCACATTTTCCGCGTATTAAGACACGACAAACTCTTATCAGTGATTGATTGATCTGTCTGTCTAAGATAATTTAGAAGTTAACTCTGGAAGATTCATTCATAAAAACGTTAATAATATTGTATACACTAAAAAAAATATTGTATATGTATATAGGTTATTTCTGAAATTATAGTACATAGTATATGTACATTAATAGAAGATGTCATACTTATTATTTTTATAATTCTCATTCTGATTTTAGCGGAAACTTCTTAAATATGATTCTATCGTATCTCCTCTATTCTACAAGACTCAGGTAGAATATGCTGTGCACGACTTTGCACAGATGAAGGCCTTAAAACAACCAACCAAATATGATTCTACGTATCAAAAGATTTCATAAATAAATAAGAAGGCTTTTTTGCTAATATCATATATTTAATTCCAAAAATAATGTTACAGTTAAGCACACTGGATTTCAATGATTTTGGAGTTCATCCAGGGTCTGTCCCATACTTCGGAATTGCATTGTATGCTGTTATTATTGTCTAAAACGTCACATTTATCCGAATTTGGCACCACTCCGTCCTCAAAACAAGGTCCTGCGACAAATTCAATATTTGTCAAAGTACCCTCAACAACTTGCTCCGTAACTTTATTGACTTTTAAAACGCGATAGTTTTTCGCTAAGCCAGCGTCCTGCATGTACTTGGATAATGATTCCTCTGCTAGATTCATATATTGGCTGTCATTTGGATCACATTCTGTTACTCCTCCTAGGATTTCTTGTTTTGTTCTCGAACTCTCCAAAGTGATCTAGAAATAGAGTGTATCTATTAATGTCCGTATTAATAGTTAATAGTATTAAAATATTCTACATGAACATTTATTCAAAGGTTTGTTTGATGAGATACATATAATAAGATGTTCAGCAATAATCTTAGGACCACCAGAAAATATTTCAGAAGGGTCAGTTACAAAAAAGTTTTTAATATAACCTCCTAAATTTTATGTTTTTGGTCAACTTATACTTGTAATTAATCTTATTTTTACATCTTTATATACACACACTATTAACAATCTTCTTCTACCTGGCAATTTCCCAGCTATAGCCAGGGTCTCCCTTAAATGTTGTGAATAGTTTTGACTAATTTTTTTTTACGACCTGCCGCCTGCCTGACATCAACCCTCTTTGGAAATCAGCATTAATCAGTGATGTCTAAATATTCTTAGAAAGTACATATGACTCGGAAAAATCACATTGGTACTTGCTCGGGCCAGGATCGGAGCCGCGTCCTCGTGGATGAGAGGCGGGCCTTTTAACCACTAGGTCACCACTGACTGTACACATTATTAACAATACCAAACAAAATTCTACCGTGTTTATGTATCACTTACGGTTCTTTTTACACTCCCACTGTAAATAATAAACAATTGCTTACCTCATTTGACGTGAGTGATTCCGAATGAACGTTTTCTTTCACAAATTTCAGTTCACAAACGTTCACAACAAGGAAGATTGAAAAAATAACCCCGAACGTATTCATGGCGACTAGATTTAATACTGTCAAATTTACTTTATACAACGCTCTTATAGTAAAGATAAACTAGCATAAAAAACACTTGAAAGATATCGAAATGAAAATGTAATCTAATGATGTCATAGATATTTATCAAACTATAGATATTTATTTAATAACTAGTTTTTGCCCGCGACTTCGTCCGCGTTAGTTTCGTCATTAGTAACATATGTATAGAACCGGGCGAACTCTATACCGTCTTAGAGGCCACAAATAGTTAGGTTTTTCCTGTTTCAATCGAACAGAATGATTGACATATTAGTTAGTTTTCAAATCTAATGTCAAAGAAAAGGTTTGTATGGGAAATAGAAAAGGGCTATTTTTAAGGTTTTCCCGGAAATGAATCAATTTTTTTCAGCTTTTAAACCTTCCCTGAATCTCCACGAACATTTCAAGATAAAATAAGATAAATCCGTTCAGCCGTTCTCGAGTTTTAGTGAGACTAAAAAAACAGCAATTCATTTTTATATATATAGATATAAAATTTTCGACAATGCAATTTACACAGCACTGCACTTTGCAATAAAAATACTGGCCTAACTAAAGAATTAGAAGAAAAAGACCTGCAAAAAGATACATATTGATTTGTTACCTTTAGCTTATAACAGGTATTTGATAAAATTGGATATTGGGTATATTTAACTTGAAAATTATATGAATTTTATTTGCCACTAGCAGACAGAGACACACTCTGTCTTTAAAGGCGTTATAGATTTTTTTGTTATGTTTTTTATTATTCATAAAAATACATATTGACTAGTAATCTCAAATTTTAACGGACTTAAATGAATGACTAGTTTCTCATTTATGTCTTACATGGCAGCGAATTCAATATTATAAAATAATTATCTACTAATTAGATCAAAATACTCAGCCCTTTTTTGTTAATAAATAAGAGTAAATGTATAATTTTTTTGTGATGTAATGATAAGACAAGATGAGGAAAATGATAAAAAAAACTACAAATACAATAATATTTTTTCATCTTCTCTATCTACTTCCAATGAATCAGACACAAAAACTGGCATTACTCATTTTATATTTGAAGATGTTATTTAATATGATTCAAAAAATGCTTCATGTCTACAATTTTTATGTAATTTTAGGCAATATTAAGTTTTTCAAAGTTAACTGTCTAGTACTCAGTACACAAAATGTGAATGAAACTAATGTTTTCGGATTTACTACGCGATTTTTTATTTTTGACTATAAATTACGTACTCGCGACCTTTCGGCTACTTTTCAGCAACCGTGATCACGGGCAGATGAGATGTGTGTCTGTCAATCAGTCTTGTTATTTTGTACTGACAGACTTGTACTTGTTTTAGGCAGTCCCTGGCTAATGCTGGGAAAAGTGACAGGTAGAAGAAGAAAATAAGAAAATATAAGGAAAGTTCCATCCTTCAAATCATTACTTATCATTTACGTTATGAATGATTCAGATTTAAGAAGATGGTGATGTCGTTGAGATAAAATGAGATCATGTACATACTCTGCAATAAAAAAAAATCTTTTAGGATGAATACTGTAATAAGATTTTTCGATTTTTACTACGAACTAGAATTTTTGGATAGAAGAGAGCATTAATTTTAAGCTTTCTTTCCAACTGGCTACCCATAAACCTTGTGCTGGATACAAAAAAAAGCGTTACCACTTAGGTTTGAATGAATTTACACTATGAAAACCTTTATTAAAGTCTCAACTGCAGATTTTTAATTAATATTGAAATTATAGAGAGAGTTGAAGGGAAAGTAACAAATGATGCAAAATTAAATCTAAAAATTTCTATTTATCATTTTATTTTTATTAATTTAAGTATATAAATAACTATTCTTTATTAAGTGCCGCGTTTACTGTCGGTTAGTAAATAAAAAAGAGTTCCATTATTGAGTTTCATTTACGTAAGTAAAAAAATAATTTAATCACCTGTGTAATAAACCAATTTAAGTTTGCTTGTTAAATCATTAGATTTAATTGATACAAAAATTAATTTGTTTCACAGTAGTATAAATATGTGAATAATTGAAAATGTTTTCTTATCTTGAGATCGTCACAAGAGTCATTGATTGGTCACTATGGTTGGGTCTAACTGTTATTTTGGACTTCTTATATTTTTGGCTATCGCCTGTTCGACAGGGGTAAGTAAATATATTAATAAAAAATTAGAACAAAAATATTAACTATGTAACACTATGAAAATACTTTCATAAAAAGCTTATAAAATATTAATAGAGGAAATATATTGTATCTTATAGTAAAGTAAAACAGTTCAATTATGTACCATAGTAGGTATTATTATATATTTCCATGTAAAGAATTTCATTACTTCCATTCCCCATTCCATATATAAATAGTATGGTTTCATTCTTTATACATGTGTATGTTCGCTGATTTAGATGGCGTACAGACATATGAGACTTTCAAGAACAGATGACGACGGCCACACACCTACCGGAGGGCTTGTAGAAAAGGATCCAACGGACAGCACTTATTTCATGATGGCGGAAGATGCACTAAAACAATACGAAGATGAAACACACAAGAAAAGACATCATGTTGTACTGAAAGTGAATAAAGTTACTGAGCAAGTGGTGGAGGGTAGGATAACCAGGATAGACTTCCTCGCGTCATCTACACAATGTCCTAATGATTCAAGTGAACAAACTCCATTGGTCTGTCAGCTCAACAACATAAAAAATGTATTGAAATGTCATTCAGAAACATGGAGTCGGCCGTGGCTGAACCTAAATGAGATTAAAATTGACTGTACCTTGCTTCGACAATCAGAAAACTAAATGTAACTATACTATGAAATAATAATTTCAAATAGACACATATAAATTTCATTAAATATATATACCTATTTAAATTCAAATATTTTTTTTAAATTGTTAACCTCCTTGCAAGAACCTTTAGACAGATTTGAAAAGAAATCATTTTCTGTAATATTCAATTAAAATTGCATTGTCTTCGGAAAAATTACAAAGATTCCATAGACTTTTTATAAATTTCAATGGGCGAATGAAACAAAGAATATAAAAAAGGTTTGAGACAAAACAAACAGTTAATTGTGTTTAAAAACTATTTTCCCAACTTTTGATTTATATGTAGTTTACATTTAATTAAATCTCATTACAATAGATTCTTACTACATGTGAAATATCGTGACAATTATTTTATGTCTTATAATAAGTTATATTAAAAATAAATATCTTAAATTTATTTTAAATTGTATCTAATATCTAGTGGTTTAAATGTGCTTAGCAAATAGTATAACAAGTATAGTACTAAGCATTACATATATGTACAAATAAAAAGCCCTCAGGTTTTTAATGTTTCAAGTAACAATACCCCAACTGGTAATAATAATAAAATGATCCAAATTACGTACCACTCAGGCCTAAAGGTGTTTTATACAAATTATAAGAAAAATTTAGACAGAATTAAAATTACAAATAAACAATTTCAGAGGTAAATTATTTCCAAAAAAAGTATTTAAATTAAGTTCTGCAACTTGATTACCTGATTATAATCGTAAGTCTCTTAAAAAATAAGTAAACAGAGTTCTAAATTTAATTTTAATCAAGATATTTGTACTAAATTATATTTTGAAACCAACAAGTTAAGATGAAAAGGTATATGTAAGAAAATATAAATCACTGAGACTTTAGTATAATCATGGCATTGAAATGTTTATATGTGAAAGAATACTTTTTCATAGTTCTCCTTTAAATCAGACGTACTGCTTTCGACTAACTAAAGTTTAAACCAATACGAGGGGTAAAAACTTACTATATTAATATAAATAGTAGATTATATAATTGCTTTTATATGTAAGTATTACTATATTTTTGAAGTAAGTTCAAAATTTTATCACCATTTCAATACTGTTTCAAGAAAGCTTTATTCTTCGGGGATGTTATTAGAGCTCTCCAATTACTAATAATTGCTAGACAAATGATAAAAATATATTACAATATTCCTCAATCTATAAAAAAAAACTGAAGTCTCGATACAATTCCTAGAGCACAAATTAGTACAGTTGTCCATTTGACTTTGATCTTATTTCAAACTAGTTTTTTCAATTATCATTAAGTTTGTTAATGAGTTCTTAAACTTAAATCATTCTACATTCATCTAGAACTAGATGACTCTAGAATGAAACTTGAGAACAGCTTTCTAATATTAGAGCGTTTAACATAAAAAACAAATAATGATTTAGTTTTATGTATAAGTAATAGATTTTTATAAATTTTACACTCACATTTTTTAGAAAATTCTCAATTTAAGATAAAGAAAGTACCGCTATAGTTATTTATTTTTAATTTTAGATTGAATTAAAATATTTAATTTAACTTCACTACCTACTTATCCCTTACATAAAAATCAATCCATATTATGAGTAAATAAAAATTTTAAACAAATGTAACCTAATGATGATATACATTTTGATAACATCAATAAGAAAAAGTAATATTTAAAAGGGTCCTAAAAAATATTTAAGAGTATCAAATGACTAGAACTTGTTCTCAAAGGATCATATGTATTTCAACAATAATCAATCAATCAAATTTAATCTTTGGAAAACTTGAAAATAATAAATTAAATCAATCTTTCTCTTACAAGTTTTTTATTTATTTTATATCTCGCGTTGGCCATTCATGACCTAAAGTGTAATTTCTTTTTGGAACAGTTACTTTTGATCTCCGTCAAGCCCTCCCAAGACTTAGAATATACTTCTGAATGACAGTGCAATATATTTGATATGCTCTTGAATTGACAGAAATGATCGGGTTCTGAGTCAGCATCACAATTTAAAGGTGCAGCATCGAAGTCAATTTTGGTAAGTGTTCCTGAAACCACCTGTTCAGTCACTTTATTTACTTTCAATACGTTGTAACGGGTACCATCTTGTGAGTCTTCTTCGTATTTTCTTAGAGATTGTTCCGCCATCATGTAGTATGTGGTTTTTGTTGGATCCTTTTCCTCAGGCTCTCCAACTCCGTAAGGTCTGTCATCGTCATCATCATCTGTTCTTGGAACTCTTATGATATTTCTGAACGCTATCTAAATCAAAAAACACAATTATAACGCCAAAAATTTACAGTAGCTAAATGAACCTATTACATTTAATTGAAATTGTTATCAGAGTTTAGTAAATATATATGTAGTATATAATGATATGGAAAATACTAAATTATTTCGTTAAGAAAATAAGCACTTTTGTTGTTTGTTCTCTTTTTATACATATGTATCTTAAATGAATTAGTAGTATATAAAGGATAGTCTCTCCTCCTCAGTATTAAGAGCCATAAACAATAAACAACAATAAGTGATAAAAAGAGAAACATGTCACAGATCAATGTATCTCATATAGCGAATAATATCCTTTTTTCTTATATCTTTCTTTTTATAATAAATATTTTTATAATATTTATATGTTCTATTTTTTATAAATGTATTATTTACTTACCACTGATGTAGAGGCAATAACCATGAATATAAGAAGTCCAAAGCAGTTAGACCCAATCATGGCGATCAAAACGAAGTCAAACTGTGTCGATAATAAATCATAGACATTTTATACGTAGTACGGTAGTACTCACAGTAGTGTGAAATAAATTAATTTCTGTACTAATTAAATGTAATGAGTTAACAAGCAAAATGAAATTAACCTATTTCACAGGTGATTAAATTTAAATGTGTTTTATGTTTTCGTTAATCTAAATAGAAAAAAAATTAACTCCTTTGTTTTTTTACATACCTACTTTTCGATATGTTTGTCTGTCAAAACTACTTAATTGAAAGAAAATAATTTATTTATCAATTTAAACGAATTAGACTGTTGCAGTTAATTTGTAAAACTTTAGTAAAACATATATCGGTGTATAGGCCACAACAATGTTTAGCATGTTTTTTTTTATAATAAGCAACTTGTCTCTCTAGAGCGAATGTCGATAATTTTCAAGACCATAATCTCAAACTTACCAGATCATTGGGATCTAACTAAAATATGACGCACGCCACCTTCATACCTTTGACATGCTTCAAATATTGAGTAAATATTGGGCAGAACCATGAGTTGACAGCGTTTATCGAGCCACTAAAAACAAAGCACATGACAAGGATGATTTCTAACAAAGGCGTGGGGTGTCATCTTAATGTAAATTCTTTCCAAACTTTGGAATTAAGCTACTATGTCCTGACTCGAGTAGGTGAATGTATGTATTTCTCAGCCATGTCATGTCATATTCACCGATTTGAGTCAGGACATTATAGCTTAATTGGTAAAGCAACTGGAAACCGAAATTCCGGAAGGAACAAGTTCGAATCTTGCTTGTTAGCTTATTTTTTTTTTGTTCAAGAACTTGGCTTTTTGTTCAAGAAGAGATACTGGCTAGACTGACCTACAATTTGCAGATGATGATGATATTAGAGTAGACGCCCGATAATGTGTAAAAATAATATGCGGGTAAAAATTATCTTTCTAAAATATTTAAATTGCAAGTAACGACTGAAAACTATTCGAGTATAGCCTCACAATGGAATCTATTTTGGTCTACGTCATCGCCAAAGAAGCGTATGGCCTGTATGGTATCCCGTGTATTACGTACTTTTAGGAACTCTTCAAATACCGGTGTACCGATCTTTTGACGAATCCTTGTAAAAACCTCAGCAATTAATTTACTTAATAGCTGTATCATTCGCGTAATGAATTCCTGAAATATTGTCATTATAGACAGTTGAATATCTGACAGTTCGCCAAGATGTAAGCATGGTCTCACTGCCAATGGTGACCTAAGACCAATTTAAGACTTTAAAAGAAATGAACTATTACTTATATTTACTAGTAAGCATTTAAATAACACCGTGTGTTTCGGATTCCTTTTTATTTGAAGTAGTAAGAGTTTAATATTATTGTATAGGGAAACATGTCGCTGTGGCATTCCGCACATTTTAAGTGTCGTTGTAAGTGTATCATTTCACCCTCTTCTTTATTGAATGTAAGGCTTCAAAGGTCTCATTGACCACTGAAAAAAGCCAAAGTTAGGTTCTACTAGCTGTGTCCTACATTCTGGCAGTTGAATCCTATACAATGTATTTACTTATTATTAAAATAATTGATTAATTTTCAAGATATTGATATAATATTAGGTAACCAAATTTTTTTATTAATTCATATTTAATTACAATTATTGATATTATTTTAATAGAGTATCTGATAATTTTGAACTTTTAACTGTTATATTTCTTGCTTCTAACTAGACCTGATCCAATATTTCTGAATGACAGGTAAATACATTCGTAGTGTTGTTTAATCGGCAGATAGATTTTTTTTTATTAGATCCAAGGTGACATAATTGTGGTGAAGCAAGGAAATCTAGTCTATCATTCGACTGACGATTTGTTCACTCGCTTTTTCCACTCGTAGTTGCGACTCCGGTTCTTCCGCATAGTTTTAAAAAATTGTTCTTCCATTTTGAAAAAATTATGCCTTATTGGATTCCTCACAACAATTCAACATAACAAAATCTTTGAACCAATGTCTTAATAGACATTCCTATGTAGAAAAATTGTCTGCTATAAATTCATGAATGTTTAAAAAACAATGAAGAAATAAGAATTATGATAAATAAAGTTTTCTTAACTCTTGTTGTTAATTAAATTATTAAAATTACTAAACATCTTATTCCTTAATTATGTATATGAGATGACAAAGAAAATTACAAGAAACTAGCTTAGAGCGAATCATCGCCATGAAGAATGGACCTTTAAATGTAAACAGAAATATGTACGTCATAAAAGACGTCATAATATTACGAAATTTAGTCGAGTATGGATTAATTATTTATGGTTATTTTATGTACGTATGTTAAGAAATGAATATGTCTGTAACGTAAGTGGCTTTATTTTCGTTTTTCAATACATACGAGTATATAAATCTTTGTGTTTGAAATACTTATTTATGTTTATGCTACAATCTATGCTACATTTGAAGGAGGACGTGCGAGGAACGTTATCGGTGCATTAAAATATATTTTTGTCAATTATAAATTTCAGTGTATTTAACATATATCCTGTGTGAAGATATACTAGACCTAACATATTCTGAAGTATTCTGTGAGAATCAAAAGAAGGTTATAATTTGAAATAAAGGAACACTATACTATCTGCCATTGAACACCAATAAACAGAAAAAATAGGATAAACAAGAACCGTGGTATACAAATACATAAATAACAAAGAATTTTATTTGATTTTTATAAAACCAAACGTACTAATTATCGTGAAAGATTACACTGACACCCATGAGCTATGTAAAAATGGATGGATTGAATGGATTTTGAAAAGAGCTACTGGATTGACATTAATCAAAAATAGCTAAGAATAAATGCAAGGAAAGGAAAGGAAAGGATTTTAAATTTAAAAAAAAAATTTTTCGGGGTTTAACTAGACTAGTATTTTTTCTATTCAATATCTTCAAATACCCCGAATGCCACTCTCCCCTCTACGACATCCTAAGCTTATGGTCTACCACCAAGAGCTTTTACGCACTTTTGGGGCTTGCTACTTCCCATTACCACCACCCACCTATCCCCTTGACGTTTATCATATCTAATACTTAACAAATTCTTATACAGGGTGACTGGTGAATTACTATCGATATTTGAGGACGTGATATTTGACGATCATATATGACGAAATAAAAATTAATATAACATAAATATTAATAAACTTCTAAGTAAAGTTAACCAAAAGTTATGAAATTAATTATGCATCGTGTGAACACCCTACAGATTAGGTATACAGACACACACACGCGCGCGTCGGCGGCGTGGTGTTGTTTCAGCACACCGCCGCACGCGTCCACACTTGGAACACTTGGAACGTTTCCACACTTTATTTATTTATACGGAAATTTGGTCAAAAATTAAGTACCTATTTTTTTTACATAATTCGAATGAGAATCATGTACCGAGTACCTATGCTCCTTAAATATTGATAGTAATTCACCAGTCACCCTGTATGAAGTTATATAACAAAATTGAAACCATTTATATGTAATATGTATGTTCCTATATGTATAATACAGACTTGTATATACATATATACATAAATGTATACATATTAATTTTGTACAAATATTTGAATTCACTATGGGTTATCATTGATAAATCAATATTTTTAAATAGATGTTTCTTTCTATTTATTATTTTCATCATCGGATACATCAGTAATCACTGGGTTTGATTGTAAGACCGAAACAATAGGCATATGTTATGAAAGATATTATACATATGTTTTCGAATGAAGATTAAAAAGATATCTATAGAAAACTTAATACGAACTGATATATCTTATACATTTAAATGACCAATTCTTGTATATATAATTAGAATCTAGAAAATTTAGTATAAGGGGGTTTCAGGAGCGAAAAATCGATCTAGCTAGGAATCATTTTTAGAAAACGTCATTTTGTAAAAAAAATAACAAAAAGAAGGCGTTTATAATATGTCTCTTCCTGACATCTATTGGTTAATAGTAATACTATTTTGCTTTTAATAATTGTTTAAAAGACACAACAGCAGATGGCGTTACTAAGTAACAGGAAGTCATTGAGTGTTTGTTTTCAGGTTAGATTAAGAAATTAATTGTCGATTTATATTGTTTTGTATCTTCTTAACGTGTTCACTTAAAAATGCCTGAACAAAATAAAAAAAAAAACAAAATAGTAGTAATTGTTCGTTTGTGAGCTCGTAATATTTATTAACATTGATGGAATGACTTTTGAGGATGTTGGTTTCCCAAGGAACCGTAAGCTCTATCATCACAACGCGCTTTAAAATTCGCGAATATATAAAAAGGATAATTTAAAAAGCAAATATTACGACATTATTAAGATTTTATTGAACTTCAAAATAAGATCTTCTTTGTTTATGTCTATTACATAGAGACGTTATAGACAATTAATCAATTCAGTTGTAACCAATACTTAGCTAGCACCAGTAAGTAGATTGTCACATGTAACAGTGATTTGTCTTCTATGCAGCCAGGGTTGATCCCATAATTCTGAATGACATAATAACACGTTTTGGATGTAGTCGACTTGACAGTTGGCAGTTCTTTGATGAGACTCTTGTTTACAGACTGCCGGTACGGCAAGGAATTCTAATCTGGTCGAAAGACCAGAGACAACTTGTTCTGTTGCTTTCGTCACCCTTAGAACAACGTTGTCTAATTCGAGGTTATTTTGAGCTTCATATTGTCTTAATGAATCTTCTGCCATCAAATAATACTTATGCTCTGTTGGGTCCATGACTACTACACCACCGGGAAGTGGAACATCCGACTGTGAGGTTTTAACTGAAGAATCTCTTAGCGTTTTCTGAAATAAATAAATTTCATGTATAAACATAATGGAACATTTTGCTGACGTAACTTGACAAGGAAAATCCAAGGCGATGTGAAATTATTGTGTTATGTGATATGATACTTATATCATATCACATATCTAAATAAACAATGAGTTTATCTTAATAAACAATGAGTTTTCTATTATCTTAATACTGAGAATAATAGTTTTGTATTCATATATATGTATAGTATAAGCCTCGGGATTAAGAGATACTGCTTCTAAAGGTAAGCCGGTACGGTCATATTTACGTAGATCTAACTTGAAAGAAAGAAAGAAAGAAAATTAAGATTTGAAAAGAAGAGAAAAATGAGATTTAAAAATAATGGTTTGCAGTATCGTTACTAATTACACGAAATATATTAATTTTTCCTGTCTTCAAGATATGTACTAGGTATGACGGAATAATGATTGTTTCTTTGGTTTAAAAAGACGTTAATAGTAAAGCATTCAAATTAAATAATGGAAAGTTTATTTCGAAATTTAGGGAGTGAACAGCCAAACTTCCCCATTGAATGTACCTATTTTATACCTAATTCTCAATTATGGTTAGGGTAACATATGGGTTAAAATGTTTGATAATTAAAAATTTGAAAAAAAAAACTAGTTTATATAAAATTATGAAGAGAAAATTAAATTAAATAAAACAATTCTTACCGCTGATGTAAAAGTAAAAACCATGAGCATAAGTAACGAACATATTGTTTTAGGCCCAATCATTTTACTAGCAGTCTGCTGTTGTTGAAAGAAAGTAATGTTTATTTATTTCATGAATACTATATATATAGAATCACGGTTTAATTTAATTATTGTTTTAATCAAATTATGTATGTTGACATGCATTTAATTAGTGTACTAATTATACAATTTGTGTATTATGAAACGATTTAATTAGATACACAAGGTATATCTGAGCTAAGAAAAATCTAGGTGTATGGACATAAAACTAATTTAGGCTTTTAAATTATTCTTATATGGCATTAGAGAAGGAAAACTCTTTATGAGAGTGCAATAACATTAATATATATGTGCGTCTTGCGACATAAGTAATACAATTTTGTACGTGTTTAAATATTATAGAATATAAGGGTTTAGCTATGGTACAATTTTCGAATGTTTTGTGCGTAATAAACGCATGATTACTGACAAAGGCGTGGGGTGTCACCTTTATTTTAATTCCTTAATGAACTTTGGAATTAAGCTACTATGTCCTGACTCGAGTATGTGAATTAACCATTCTATGTATTTCACAGCCATATCATGTCATATTCACCGATTTGAGTCAGAACTTAATACCTTAATTGGTAACGCAACTGCTAAATCGCTTGATAATTTGTCGATAAGTGGATCTCTTCAATAATCATGTATCGTTCTTTTAAAGAAACCTTGGAAAAGCCTCAGCAACTATCTACCTACAGTCCTCCGGGACAGAATTGATAGCTTACTAATTAATAATTATATCACCTTTTCTAGAAGTAGGTCGTAAAAAGTTTTAACTCATTAAATATATTATTACAATTTTTCTCCGGCAATACAGAAGAATGTGTATTACTTTAGATTGTCTTGTGTTTATGTATTGTTTCAAGATGTTGGTATAATATTAGGTTATCTACCAAAATATAGAAAAAATATTAAGACTTTTAATAGAGTATCTGATAATTTTGAACATTTAACTGTTATGTTCCTTATATCTAACCAGCCCTGTGCCAATATTTCCGAATGACAGGTCTATACATTCTTTAATTTATTTAACCAGCAGATAGAAAGATTTTCATTAAGTTCAAGATGACATAATGGAGGTGAAGCAAGGAATAATTCGTAGAGCTGCACGTCGACACGACTTTGATTCTTCCTCATATTTTTTCAACGATTTAGGCCTCGCAACAATTCAAGCCAATAAATTCTTTGAAGCTATTTGTCTATACATATGTTGAGAAACCATCTGCGATATATTTATGAATGTACTAAAAAAAAACAAAAAAGAAATATAGTAAATAGGGAAATAGGGAAATAAGAAATAAAAAAGAAATAAAGTGTAGGGTAAAATCTTACCCTTCATATATATACAGGGTGACTGGTGAATTACTATCGATATTTGAGGACGTGATATTTGACGATCATATATGACAAAATAAAAATTAATATAACATAAATATTAATAAACTTCTAAGTAAAGTTAACCAAAAGTTGTGTAATTAATTACGCATCGTGTGAACACCCTACAGATTAGGTATACACACACTCACACATACGCGTGTCGCGACGTAGTGTTGTATCCGCACGCCGCCGCACGCGTCCACACTTGAACACTTGGAACGTATCCACACTTTATTTATTTATACGGAAATTTTGTCAAAAATTAAGTACCTATTTTTTTTACATAATTTGAATGACAATCATGTACCGAGTATTCTCCTTAAATATTGATAGTAATTCACCAGTCACCCTGTATAAGGAAACAAAGAGAATGACAAATAAAGAAATTAGTTTAGAGCGAATCATCGCCGTTAAGAAAGAACATGTCATTGCATTAAAATATATCTATGTCAATTGTTAATTTCACTGTAGCTCGGCATATCCTGTGTGAAGATGTACCTACTAGAACTTACATATTCTCTAATTATTCTGAGAGAATCAATAGGTACACGTATATACAAAAAAAAATAGGAGAAACAACAACCGTGGTATACAAATAGGTAAATAACAAATAATTTTATTTGATTTTTATAAAACCAAACGTACTAATTATCGTGAAAGATTACACTGACACCCGCGAGCTATTTAAAAAATCATCACAGACATTACTTTGGTAGAAGTTCTTAAGACTTAAGTATCCCATGAATTGCACATGATTAAAAATATTTAGTATATCTTTAACAAACTAATAATTCCTTTCTAATTATAACTATACTATGTAAATGTAAGTGACCCATAATTTTTCCAAAAAGGGAGTTAGCCTTATGATTTGATAAATATTTAAAAAAAATAATGTAGTCAGCACAGATGATCAGAAACTTGCTATAAATGGTCACAATCGCCTAAAAAGTTATCATGTACATCGGAAAGCACTTGAAATGTTTAAGGAAAGCTTGAATGTGAAAAGTAATTTGGATATTTAAAAACAAACATTACAAAATTATTAAGATTTCCAAATTTAGCTTTTATTGAACTTCAAAATAAGATCTTCTTTATTTATGTTTAATACATGGAAACATTATAAACAAATAATGAATTCAGTTGTAACAAAGTCTACTTAGCTAGCACCAGTATGTAGATGGTCACATGTAACAGTGATTTGTCTTGTGTGCAGCCAGGGTTGATCCCATAATTCTGAATGACATAATAACACGTTTTGGATGTAGTCAACTTGACAGTTGGCAGTTCTTTGATGAGACTCTTGTTTACAGACTGCAGGTATGGCGAGGAAGTGTAATCTGGTCAGAAGACCAGCGACAACTTGTTCTGATGCTTCAGTCACCCTTAGAACAACGTTGTCTAATTCGAGGTTATTTTGAGCTTCATATTGTCTTAATGAATCTTCTGCCATCAAATAATACTTATGCTCTGTTGGGTCCTTCTTTGTAATACCACCAACCACTCCAACATTCGACTTTGAGTCTTTAACTGATGAATCTCTTAGCGTTTTCTGAAATAAATAATCTTCATGTATAAAAATAATGGAAAACTTTGCTAACGTAATTCGAAAAGAAAAATCTAAGGCGATGTGAAATTATTATGTTATGTTATATGATATAAGATAAACAATGAGTTTTATACTACCTTAATACTAAGAATAATAGTTTTGTATTTATGTATATGTATAAGCCTCGGGATTGGGAAATGCTTCTTCTAAATGTAAGTGGGTACGATCATATCTATGTAGATGTAGTTTGGGCATATTAAGTTTTGAAGAGAGGAGAAGAATGGGATTTGAAAATAAGTATTAACTTTTCCTGTCGTCAATATGTGTACTAGATATGACAGAATAATGATTGTTTCTATGCTTGTTAAATACACTAAAAGTAAGGCATTCCAATTAAATAATAGAAAGTTTATTTCATAATTTAGTTAGTAAATGGCTGAACTTCCGTATTTAACGTTCCTATTATGTCCAGAAACTCCTCTCCAATTCTCAATTATGGTTAGGTTAACATGCGGATTAAAATGTTTTGTAATCCAAAGTTGGCTTAAAATATTATAAAAAACTTCTTTACCTAATTCTTAGTTAGGAAAAAATTAATTTATAAAAAATTATGAAAAGAAATTTAAATAAAACAATTCTTACCGCTGATGTAAAAGTAAAAACCATGAGCATAAGTAACGAACATATTGTTTTAGACCCAACCATTTCGCTAGCAGTCTGCTGATGTTGTAAGAAACTAATGTTTATGTATTTTTAATACTATATGCAGAATAACGATTTAGTTTAATTATTGTCTTAATCGAATTATGTATGTTGACATGCATTTAATTAGTGTACTAATTATACACGTTTTAATTAGATACACAAGGTATATTTGAGCTAAGAAAATTCTAGGTGTATGGACATAAAATAATATAGACTACTAACATATGCTTATATGACATAGAGAAGGAAATCATCTCTTTGTGAGACTTAAATAACTTTAATATGTGTACATATATTAAAATTATTACTCAATAATACTACATACGTAATACAATTTTGTATGTATTTTAATTTGATAGGTTTAGTTGTGTTAGTTTTATTTTTTGACTAGTGTCGTCGTCTGGTGTTGTCTTTCGTTTTGTGTAAACAAAAACATAGTAAAAGATAAAGATACAGAAAGCCGAGAGTATTTGTAGGAGGGCGTTATAAGAACAGGAGGGCCTTCATGGGAACTCATACTTTGAAAGGGATAAAGTACAGTCTATTCAATACGACACCAACTCAATCGAAACACTAGATATCACTATCACTTCGATACACAGCGATTCGTCACGAGCGCGGTGCGCGGGCGTCATCTCGCACGATACTCCATAATAAAGATGGCCGCCCTCGCTACCATCACAATGACGCTTCACTAGGCTAACCTCAGACAGCTAAAAGTCAACCTGACGTATGATTTTTGACGGATGCGCCGTCACGGCCGGACTGACATTCGACCGTCCTCGGGCGGTTCTCGGATCAATGAACTACAGTTGTGTCTATTCCGTTCGGCATCCTGACAAACGACTAGTTACAATCATCAAAATGTGCTATGGTACTTAAGACTTAAGGCGAGCATCTCGTAGCAATTAAGCCAGACGACAACATTCATCTCACCACAATGTTCAAAGCATCCAGAACAAGTCAACCAACTTAAAGGGCTCTGACCCGGACGACTACATTCGTCTTGCCACAATGTTCAAAGCATCCAGAACAAGTCAACCAACTTAAAGGGCTCTGACCCGGACGACTACATTCGTCTTGCCACAATGTTCAAAGCATCCAGAACAAGTCAGCCAACTTAAAGGGCTCTGACTCGGACGACTACGTTCGTCTTACCAGAACAAGTCAGCCAACTTAAATGGCTCTAACTCGGACGACTACATTCGTCTTACCAGAACAAGTCAGCCAACTTAAATGGCTCCTGACTCGGACGACTACATTCGTCTTACCAGAACAAGTCAGCCAACTTAAATGGCTCCTGACTCGGACGACTACGTTCGTCTTACCAGAACAAGTCAGCCAACTTAAATGGCTCCTGACTCGGACGACTACGTTCGTCTTACCAGAACAAGTCAGCCAACTTAAATGGCTCCTGACTCGGACGACTACGTTCGTCTTACCAGAACAAGTCAGCCAACTTAAATGGCTCCTGACTCGGACGACTACGTTCGTCTTACCAGAACAAGTCAGCCAACTTAAATGGCTCCTGACTCGGACGACAATATTCGTCTTACCAGAACAAGTCAGCCAACTTAAATGGCTCTGACTCGGACGACTTCATTCGTCTTACCAGAACAAGTCAGCCAACTTAAATGGCTCTGACTCGGACGACAATATTCGTCTTACCAGAACAAGTCAGCCAACTTAAATGGCTCTGACTCGGACGACAATATTCGTCTCACCAGAACAAGTCAGCCAACTTAAATGGCTCTGACCTGGACGACAATATTCGTCTGACCACAATCTGCAGAGCATCCAGAACAACTCAGCCAAACGAATGAACGATGATCGAGACTCCAATGAGCTAGCCCCATCATCTCCACTACTTATACTCATGTGAGTGAACGATGACCCGGACATAGACTCCACAGAGCTAGCCCGTCCATCTTCACAACCTGATCAAGCGTCGACCGGACGTGGACTCCATCGAGCCAGCCCCTGCACGCTTTGATCCATCACTACTAGAAACATCGGCCGCATCAGCCAGTTCCATCGCCACCTCAAACACACCAACTCAAACTTACACAACTCATTTATGGTTTATCAATGTTGGAGGCCATCAGAGCTACTCAGCTACTCACTTTCATCATCTGACATAGCTTCGTTTCCATTCTCTCCACTCCATGACCCGCCGTCTCGGCCTCCTCATTACTTAGTTCAGTGGATATGTCAACTAACCCTTCAAAGCCTCTGGGTACTGCGCCCAAGTTTTCATGAGAGTATTTTAAAGTGCAATTAGATTCATCGGTATGTTTCAGTTCGTACCTATCGTTGTCTAGAATTTTAGTTATGATAAAAGGTCCCCTAAACTTTCTTTGCAGTTTAGTTTGGTAACATTCGCTACACTTAACAAAAACGTAATCTCCCCGAGAAAGAAAAAAAAAGGTTTTACTTGGGCTTTGCCTTTACTAAATTTAACTATTTCCTTTTGATCTGCGTTTTCAGTGTTGAGGGAAGTTTTATTCCGGATATTGTCTAAATCTAATCTCGGCTCGTTTGAATTTTGGGCTATTAATGATATCCCTAAAGATTGCGCGCGAATGCCAAACATTAGTTCTGTTGGAGTATATCCTGTAACACTACGGCTTGTGTTATTAAGTGCTAGATGACTCTCCCAGATCAGAGTAATTTAGTAAGATGGGGTAAAGGTACCGAAAACACTTGCTATATCTGCGGAAAGGCAGTTGGAACTGCTAAGCATTTGCTAGTGAGATGTAAGGTTCTCCTGGACAGCGGTCAATTCTCGCGTCGTCACTATAGGGTTTTAGAGATCATACTTGAAGCGGTTAGTCTTTCGGTAGCCAGAGCGCAAAGGGAAATAACCACAAACGAGCGATCAATAGGTTTTGTGAGAGAGAGCACCAGGGCTATAAAATCAAACGTCAAGCCTTACTCTATCCTTAAAGCGGCTTCGGATTGGACTATCATGATGGATACGTATGAGAAACAACACAAAATCCCCGAGGATATTTGCGCGTCAGCCTCCAGACCAGACATATTTCTATATTCGCGTATTTTAAAGCGCGTTGTGATGATAGAGCCTACGGTGCCTTGGGAAACCAACATCCCCAAAGACCATGCCATCAAGGTCATTAAGTATTACGAGCTCACCAACGAACTAACTCGAAATAGGTTCGTCCGCGGTAGAGGTGGGAGCGAGAGGCATAACAGCCAAATCTCTCTACAACCTACTAAAAGACTTGGGCCCGTCCAGAACCAACATTAATTCATTCTCGGAACGTACGTCGAAAGCAGCCCTAGCAGGTTCCTTCCAAATTTGGCCAGGTAGGGAGAGGAACTTGGACAGTGGAGGTGAGCGTACAACGCGCGTTAGTTAAGGGGCCCCTTAAACCCACACCTGGGTCGCAAGTCCCAGGCACTGCTGAAGCTCCCCTCCCTGCAACGCGATGGACCCGGCACCCGCACGGTGAATCCATTGAATGCTAAGCGGTTTCGTCCCTTGTACCTCAGGAAGTTTGTCACGCCACGTTTTATGGGTATCGTTTTCTATAATAGTTAGCAGACATTTTAAAATCTGCATGACCCTTTCTACTTGACCGTTGGCTTTATTTGCCCCTGTTGTTATAAAGTAAAGTTTTATACGAGGTGTTTTACTCAATTCTCTAAAGTCCGCGCTTACAAAGCCCCTTCCCCGATATAACAATTCGCTTGAGAACACCGAAAAGAGAAACAGCTTTTCTCAACGCTTTAATAGTACAACTGGCATCGAGGGATATAGTATGCTCTTAAAGGACATACTTGATAACATAATCAATCATTACTGACGCGTATTTCTTTTCTGTCGCTTTTGCCACTTAATGTCCCAGTCATATCTATGTGAATAGTATGCCAATAAAATGTATGCAAATCCGTAGGAGAATTTACATGGCCAAAATAGCAATAACCCCACTGAATAAAATTTGGAGAGATAGGAAAATTATTAATGGAACAAAAATGCATCTGATACGAACGCTTGCCTTCTCTATATTTCTATCTATCTAGCTATCCGATTCTGTATAGTGCAAAGACGTGGACTATGAAAGTCGTTGACAGGCAAAGAATTGATGCCTTAGGAATGTGGTGATGACGAAGTATGTTACGCATACCTCAAAATATGGTCAGCGCTTATCTAATATCTATTTGCAGCACATACTGGCGTTGATTGGTCAGTTCCCTGACAGAACTACGGACAGCTTTAAACGTCCGCTAGTGATTGAAAAAGTGGACGGTAACCGAACTAGAGGACTAAATCCCAAAAGGTGACTGGACCAAATCCCAGAACACCTAAAAATACCTGCCTGCGTTGCACTCCATCAAGAAACTAAACGTGTCTATCTCAGTATGGATATGGTTGATTTAAGTCCATACAAGGGACTGATGGACGATAGGTTACCAACGACTAACTTTGTTTCGCTCAATTTTTTTTCGATATAGCATATTGTTTCTAACATCGTAGATGTGACTAATTGAATCGGGAAACTTATTATTTAAGAGCTGAGCAACAATATCTTGAACATATGCATCACGTTTTTGTTCTACCGCTAACCACCCTTGATTTACCTCTACAAACTGCACAGACTTATTAACTACTTGAGCCTTGCTTTTGTCGCTCTTGGAAGTGCCCTGCTCAGGGTCATCTATGTACTCTCGGTGTTAATTTTTTTTTTTTTTTTTTTTTTTTTTAACTAAGAAGCTTTGAAAGGATTGCCACCCGTGAAAACGATAAAATGATGACCATATAGCTTTTGCTTCAAATATTCTTCCGCTCGAACGACTGCCGAGGTCTCAAGTTCATAAGAATGATACTTTTATTCCGTGTCAGTTTTCCGGCGACTGAAATATGAAATAACGTGAGGAACTCCGTTCTTTCATTTAATTAAAATGGTACCGTATCCGTTGACGCTGGCATTCGTGTGTAATTTTATAGGAGGCTCGCGATCAAATATAGTTAGAATAGA